ACCATCTTTGGAGGACGTTGAGCTAAAAAAATTGAAATGACACATTCTGAGGACACTTGAGACTTTGATTCATTTGCTGAAAAGGGGAATAATATGTGACCTTTAAATGAAATGACTTATGAAAGTGTGACATTTTGGGAATACCAATAAAAAAATGGGCTTTTTTGTTGATCGGATGACAGATTTATGTCTAATGCAAAGCTAACACTCGCAGCTAGCACAGCACAAACACTAGAAAGCATCTTTGGCTTTGTCTAACAACAGCAAAACAAATACGTGGAGCTCACACATTAATACAAGGTGTGTCCGAAAAGTTTCAGGACACAAAAGATATATTTCAAATCCAAGCTGCAGACTACAAATTTTCCCCTTTGAAGTAACCTGCCTGGATTCCTTCTCTGCCTTCACGCCGCCATGCACTCCTGGAAGGATCCTCTGCAGCTCCGTCATCACAGTCATCTTGATGTCGTCCACGTCTTCAAAGCAGGTCCCCTTCATGACCCCCTTGAGCTTAGTGGTTGCTCCAGCACGGCCATGTTCTTCTCAGCCAGGAACTGTTGGATGCTCAGGGCATTGTGAGCAGGCCTGTTGTCATGGTGACTTGTCCTGCCACAACTCTCACCTCTTCTCTGAACGAAGCAAACACAGCAGGATCTCTTTGTAGACATCCTGGTTGATCGTCTAAAAGGGAAAACTTGTAGTTTGTAGTTTGACATATATGTGACACCAGTCCTGGAACTTTTCTGACCTCGTATGTTGTGTCTTGTTTATTTCATATTCAATGATAAACCGTTAAGATAAACCTGATGTGTTACTTTGGGCAACATGTTCACCCTGTTTATAGTTTTTATGCTAAGCTAACTCATCGAACAGTTGCATTTCATCCCCGGTGTGCTCTCAAGAACCCTCAGCAGTCCACAGTTTGAGACCCACTTCCACGGGCTGCTGCAACAATCATTACAAACCCCATGAAACTTTACACTCCAGATGGGAGATCTTCCTCCGGGCTCCTCGGCAGGCCGCGAGGACATTGGCCTTCTTGTCTGCGAACCGAAGCCGCTGGAAACAAAAGCTCACATCCGACGTTGCTCAGACAGGTACATGGGAAGTGCTCTTTCAAGGTGGTGAGCTGCCTTCCTTCCTGGCCGCGAGAGGACGAACTGTGAGGAGGCTCTGTGTGAGGAGGAGGGATCCAGTTGCAGGCAGCTGAATTGATGCTCTGTTGGGTCTCCCCTGGACACTGTCATAGCGTGTTTGTTGAAGGCGGGTCAATGAGGACTTTCTTTGGCAGAGGAATTTCACAGCACACGACAGCACACACACACACAAATACACAGCGAGACCAGTGCAGCCCTGCAGACCCAGATCCCCGCTACGCTGCTGAGAACGGAAGTGAACGACGGTGAGGTGAAAGACGGCTGTCACAAAAAAAAAAAAAAAGCTGGTTTATATTACACCAGATTAAACGAAGCGGTTATTTATTACAGGCCAAATATGTTCATCATATTTGCAGCAGCTTGATGGAACCTGACACGGACAGAGTGGTTGTGAAGTACAAACAGCAGGAGTGTTTATGCTGCAAATTTTAAACTGTCAAACAGATTAGACTGTTAAGAGTTCAGCCACCCCTCGCACAAGAAACGGCCGAGCTTCGCAATGAGACAAGGGGGGAAAAATCCTCGGGATACCAAGGCCGCGTCCTACTTCTTTTTTTTTTGTTTGGTTCAGAGAATCTGCGGGTTCCAACTATTTGCCTGGCGTGCACTTTTTATCTGAGTCCGACCAATAAAACGGTTTGCTTACATCAAGTAACGAGAAACTGCTGAATGCAAGAAGCTGCACTTCAGACTGTTGCCATCACATAGTTTGTCCACAAGAGAGCACTAACTAATTTAGCAGAACAACTCAAGGTCAACTTACTTGCACTCATATTAAAAAACAAAAAACAAAACATTAAACAAAGAATTGCACAAGTAAAATAGAATTAAAAGCAAATATGCTATCAGAAGGACTGTGTGGGACATATTTGGCATTAAAATGTGTCAGAAAGGAGCCAGAATTAGTTGAGACTTTGTGACTGCACACACAGTAAAGTGCGGTCCAGTTTTAGATCCAGTGAACGTCCATCATGCCAACACAACACACAGCTATTCTCAGCTCGCCATGTTGCTCTCCATAAAATTTGGTAAACTGACCAGTGAAAGGGAGCTGTGCGGCCTGTTTCAGTTTGCCAAGAAAAGGAAATTTAAAAACAAACACCAGACATTCTGACTTGTCATAGCAGGAAAGGCACAGGTGTTAAACCCTGATCACACTCCAGCTGGATTGCCTGCAGACACCGTGATGGCGTCCTCTTGACAGCGAGAACAAGAGCTGCTTTGTTTACGCCGTTTGGCCAAACAGTGCAGTGTTGTGTGATGCAAAGCTTAAGAAGAACTGGACAAAGGATGCAAAATATAGTACATATCTCTGCATAAAAGATTGATGTAGCCTCTGTGTTGGAAAAATGAACCTGCATTCTTTGTAACAACCAGCAGAGGGCGACTCCTCTGGCTGCAAAAGGAAGTCAGATTGTATAGAAGAAAATGAGAAACTGAGCCTGCTTCTCCCTTAATGTATTACCTCAGTAAACATTTTCCTCATTAGTTTATGTCTTCAGCTGCTAGTTTAAAGACTCCTATAGTGCAAAATGAGGTTCATTTAGTAAATTCAGGGCCAATTTAGAGTAAAACTACGGGCGGCTGTGGCTCAGGTGGTAGAGCGGGTTGATAGCAAGGTTGGTGGTTCGATCCCCGGTCCCCCCCACATGCCGAAGTGTCCTTGGGCAAGACACTGAACCCCAAGTTGCTCCCAATGGCAGATTAGCACCTTGCATGGCAGCTCTGTCGCCATTGGTGTGTGAATGGGTGAATGCGAAACACATTGTAAAGCGCCTTGGGTACCGCGCTAAGGTAGAAAAAGGCACGATATAAGTGCAGACCATTTACCATTTAAAACTGAATCAGGATATGTTTAAAAGTCAGGCTACCTTGTGATTGATATTTCACTTTCAGGTCACATCTATGTAGCAACAGCCAAACCAAAGGCTTCACACTGGTAGTCTACAAAGCAATAAGCAACACTCTATGACCATGACATACATACAGTATATGAAACAAGCATCCTGTTTACTTTTCCAGAACATGCTCAGTTAAAGCTGTGCAGACAGACCAGGTCGATAGAACAGTACAGGCTGCAGCTGCAGTGGTGACTGATTAACCCAGGGTGCTGCTCACTTCCAATTATCCTCAGAAGTTAAATATAAACTAAATATAATTTTAAAAATGATCATTAAATAAAAGATGTTTACTCATACTGTGTTCTTTGTGGTCATATCAGGATCCATCAAAACACAAAAATCACACTGTATCTGCTCAACCGTCAGGCCGCCACAGTGCAAATCTGATTTTATCTTTATAATAATAATATTGTTGGCAATAAACCCACATCAACCTCAAACACACTGACTGATGATCTCAGTTTTTGCTTTAACGGCACTGGATGGTGATGTATGTTCGTATTATATACCAAACAACACAATTAGCCAAAGGAGAAGGCTGCAGTTTAAGTGTTACACAGCACATCTGATCAGGGTTTAAACTCGTGCGTTCACGGTTATACAAATTCATGGCATCCTCCTTGTTGAACAGTCATGCTTTTATCTCACAAGTTTTAAATCCATTACACGGTGAATACTGAATGGAAACTTGACTTAAAAAATATATAAAGCAAATCAAATATCCAGCAGAATAATCACAGTTAGATATTTTCCTTAAATCATCCAGCACTGTCAGTTTAAACTCAACAACAACAAAAGAGCACAATAATTTGCAGAGGTTTGCTAATTAAATTAAAATCGAGCAACAAATCACATTTGATTAAGGAAGTGAGTCTTTCCTCTGCAATCGATGGTATTTAAATGACTAACTACAAAAAATTAGTCGCATAAACACAAGTTTTTAAGTTGTTAAGGATTTAAAATACTGAATTCAAATAGACAAAAATGAAGTTATCAAGCCAACTACATTAATTTACTGCAACATGAACATTGTTTTAGATTAATGCAGAAATGTCAGTTTAAATTAAAAACAATATTAACATTATAACTTATCAAAACAATGTTTGCAACTTAAAATCTTTCTCTAAATCAAAAAAATAGATTTTTTTTTAATCCTGCAGCTAGGTGGTGGTAAACAGTCCCCTGACTGTCTTTTTAAAGTATACTTTAAAACCAATACAAAACTAACAACTAACAGACTTGAATTTTTGCTTGTTTTTCTACATTTCCTGCAGGGGGCTTTGGGGGCTTTTGGCTCACCCCCTGGCCTCTAAAATGTTTGCTGTGGCCCTGCAACAGCAACAAGCTGCTGATGTGATCTCATCCAACAAATCACAATCACATAAAACCACCACAGCGTCTTTTTTTTTTTTTTTTCTTTTCTTTTCTTTCTTTCATTTTTTTTTTTTTTCTTTTCTTTTCTTTCTTTCATTCACTGAGCAAACTGCACACTGTTTGTGAGAAGACACACCTTCAGCTGGAGGAGCGCAGCAGCAGCAGCCGCCGGAGCTCCACAATGTGTTTCCCTGGATGTCAGCTGAGGGCGACAGAGGGAGGCGTCCCCCCTCCACCACCACCACCTCCACTCCTTCCCCCGGTTCTCAAGATTTCCCTCAGTCCACAATAAACTTTCATTTTGGAAAGTCGACACACATACACACACTCACACACAGCCCGGCTCGTCATCTTGTCCTGTTTTGCTGGAAAAGCTGGACTTTAATTGTTCTTTTTTTTTTTTATTTGCAAAACGCGCGGAAGAGGAAAGACGGACTTTAAAGTATAGGAAGCGCACAGGTGGAGCGTCCTATTTTTTTTTTTTTGTTGGTGTTCATCTTCTGGAAGTTGGGAGAAGAAGAAGAGGAGACAAGGCAATGGCACAAAGCAGCTTTTTCAATAGTGCTGCTGCTTTATAATCCCGCATGGTTTCACAGTTTTTACGCGTTCAATCCTTTTTACGCAAACCCTTCAAGGAAAACACCTGGGATGGAAAAACTTTCTCTGCCTCCTCTGGACTGTAGTAAAAACTCCCAAGAAAGAATGAAGTAACCGCTATGGAGCCGGACAATGCCCCGTACTCCAAACTCAAAAGCACTGGAGTCGGGGGGTGAGTCGACAGTTTTGTTTTGTTTTTTTAATATTCATTTCCAGTTTTGTTTGGACTTTCAGGGATCCGTCATGTGCGCGAAAACAGCGCCTGTGTCAAAATTAGTGGCGATTTGACCAAGATATTCGTGATTCATTGCCAGTTGCATAGACAAACTTGTAGTATTTATCATTTACAGAAGTTGTTGCAGTACTTTTGTAGAGAAATAGCTCAAATTTTGACGTTCATTTGTTTGGAAAAATCATGCAAATCGGAACAGGTGGTTTAATGGAAACATTTTACGCACAGTTCAGTGGAAGCCAGTGTTGTCTGCTGCACTGTTCCTCAAGTCGTGTCTTTGCAGCTTGTGTCAGAATGAGCTGCCAAACGATCTGGGACTGATTTGAGGGAGATGTATGAGAGGAGGAGACAGGATTTCTCTTCCTCCTCCTCCTTTTCTCTCCTCCCTGCTGTGCATCTCACTCAGCTGGTTGGCCAGACTGTCCCAATGGGAGGAGATTTAGGAAGAAAAAAAAAAAGCCCCCAAAAATGTTGCATCATATAACCCTGCTGGACATATGAGAGACTTGGTCACAAGCTTGCACACCCCCCTGTTTTTTTTTTTTTCTTTCTTTTTTGTGCAAATGTCAGTTCAGTGTGAGAGCAGTGTGAGGGAGGAAAACTTTTTTTTTTTACTGCTTCAACCAACACTCAGTGGTTGACCGGTGGTTTTCTGTGGCTCTCTGGAAAACCACAAATGTAAAAGATTTCCTGCAACGGGGCTTTCATTATGGCACTTGTCACTGAACATGTGCCACTTCAAACGGCGCTCTGCTCAACAGGCATTTTCTGTTTCATCAACCAAATCATTAGCTATGATGTGTAAAAAAAAAAAATAAAAAAAATCCCAACCCCAGAATTATCCCAGCGATGATGTGAATTCACACTCATCCGAGATAATTTCACACCTTTAGAGCAATATCAGCTCAGCGTGGGAGTAATCAACACCCCCTTTTTATCACTCGGCTTGAGAGATAAACGCCGCTGAAGAATCAGTGGAGGAAAAGCTGCTCTGTGTTGCCTGACTTTGGGTTTTAGATGGCACCGCTGTCATGTGAAAAAAAAAAAAAAGCATTTGATCTAATTCCACTGGAAGGATTACATGGTCTTTTGTGGGTTGAGGGAGAATTTTGCGCCTTTTCGAGATCCATGAAACCCTTTTGAAATCCCCACAGTCAAAAGAAAGTGCACAGCAAGCCTGTGATAAAAGTTCAGATGTTAAGAGATAAAACACAGCATTGATATATACTTTTTTTTTTTTCTTTTTTCAAACGCTTGTCTGTGTATGTCACTTGGAATTGTGGGTTTTTAAGGTGATGCGGTGGTTTTTAGGTTCGTCAGAGGTGGCCCTTGTGGGAGCACTCACCTAAGCAGTAGCTTATCTGGTCAGGCAGCAAGATAAGACTGAGCCTGTTGTCACGAAACAGATGTTAGACTCTGAACAAAGCGGAGCTGCTGCTGCTACTGATGCTGCAGCGGCTCTGATCGCTGGTAGGTGGATGAAGAGGAGTTTTAGTGTGTCAGTTTCATCTCTACATCTTGTAACTTGCACAACATCCTGCAACGACTAATTAAGCGCAATATTCTTTCATTTGTTGAAGCTGAATCGTGCAAAAATGATCTCGCTCCTGGCTTTAGCTTCTGATCACACTAAATATGTCAATAAAGGATTGAAATCTGCAATCTTTTTACTGCATTTTGCACTTTTTCAGACCAAACGTGCAAAGAAAACCCTTGAAAGACTGATTAATTGTGAAATCTAAAGGTGACATGATTACATTTTTGTACCACTCTTGTGTTTTTCTCTTTAGGAAAGTTCTGATTCTTTGGACTATACTCTGTTGCACCTGCTCTCTAAGGCTAGCACAAGCACAAGGTAAGCGACTTCAGGGCGAAAACGGGTGAATTTTTCTCTTCATACAAACACATTGCAAGTTCTTCTTAACCAATGTGGGTTAAAATAGATTCATGGGAGGTTACAGTGACACTTTCAGGCGTCTCCTTTGCATCGCGTCATTGGTAGGATGTGTAGATTCAGGTTAAATTAGGGTTGTGTGCAGTTAAACAGCAATGAAACACAGAATGGGGTGAAGCAAGTTTAAGTATGCTTCCCTAACACAGGCCCCTTAGTGTGCACGTATTTATCCACGTTATCCCCGGATTATCTATGACCGGGGTGATCAGCGTCCAGCTTGGTCAGCTGTTTGCGCAGTTTGATATATCAAGTTCAAAATCTTATGCTAATCTTCCCGGGAAATCATATTAAAGTTTGGTTTACAGACGGGGTGCTCTCTTCTGCCCCTTGAAGTGGTTGCAGTGGGCTGAACGCTTGAACCGGATTAGTAGCCAACTGCAGATGTCCTTTCAGAATTCGGCCTCCCACTCGCGGCATTGTTTTTGTGAAAACAACGGGGATGTAATGGAAGAAGAGCATCGCATTCGGCTTTCATTATGGCGCATACTGTCAGCGTAAACATTTTGAAAACACATTATCTTAGCAATTTCGCTCACAGCGCTGCTCTCGTTACAAAATAACAGAGTCTCTTTCTAATAATGCATGAATGCAGAAGTGTGTCAGACATTATTTTATTGGAAAACAGCTTAATACAATCGAATATGACCCGATGAACTGAAAAACCCTTCTCAGTCTGCAGGAGTTCACTTGTAGCTCCACTTTATTGACTCAATAAAGGCGTCGCTTCGGCGTTCAGCCAACTTTCTCTTTCTTATTCTGACTCTCTCTCTCTCTCAGCTGTGCGTTGATGTCTTGCAGTCGGCTTTCTGTTCCACAACTAAGAGACTCTCATGTTGATTTTGCTGTCAATCAAAATCCGCCAGATCTTATTCAATCAGAGCTCCTCTCTCGTTTCAAGATGCCTTTTGATAACGTAAGACACTGCGTTGGTTTGCTGCTAACAGTTTCCGGCAATTTCTCTGTAATTCCGCCTTCATCAGATGATATTTTCTCTTCCCGTGATGACGGCAGAGTGTCTGGAGACCCAGATTCCTCATATGTAAGGATGTGTCAATTTGCAGACTCTCAGATCCTAACGAGACGATAAATCTGCGCCTCGCTTTGACAGGCTACACGAGAAAAATAGTTGTGCTGCCGTTATATAAGCCTGCAGACTAGTTCTTGAATCATTTGTAAGATAAACACCCTGTTGTCAGCTCGTACGCATATGGAAATTGACCGGAGTCGATTGTGACGTTTGTTTTTCACGGTTGTGGCCGCTCTCCAGTTTATTAAAGACACGATCCAGGCTTGGTTTATTACAGCCTCTCCTCTGCTACTTTAACATTCTGACATCAGACGCCAGAAGAAATCCTGACTGTCACTGTGCACGGGCATTTGAGTTTCTGCACAATCCCCTCAGCTACACATACATTAATAGCTTACACGTTTCCTTAGAAGGGTTCCTGATTGAGGTCAGACACAGTGCAGTATCCCCCCGGAGTAGATTTGGGGGGGCTCAGCATGTCACTCTAGATGTAATGCCAACCATCTTCCAGCTGTCAATGCCAGAAATTAAACCGGCGAGCCCCACATCTGCCTCTACCTTGAAGGCAGATGATGGTAAATAATTCATAGACAGCAAGAAAGACATACATTCTGGGAATACGCTCATTAGCGATAAAGAACTGTGATGTCCGCTTGCTCGGTTCGACTTTTTTCTTTAAAGGAAAAAAAAAAAAAATCATCCATTTTAATGTGGCAAAGTAAAAGTTTAACTGAGGCAACTTTTGAATGAGTTTCAAACTTTTGGTAACGTCTGCTGGTCAGGAGATGCCTGAACGTGCTGAGTCAGAGGCCAACAATTTACTCCCTGTTTCTTGAGAATCACAGTTTGACCCAGTAAATATTCTTCTTCTTTAAAGATCTTCATTGCTCTGTAAGCACAGGTTGTTGTTTATGTGGTTGTATTAAGGGTTAGGGTTAGATAAGATAAAACTTTATTAATCCCAAAGGTAGTTCTTGTGGCACATATGGCTCAGAAATAACAAAATTGCATAACATAAGAAATGAAGTGAATAAAAAGTAAGAAACTGTTAAAGTCCAGTTTTGCTACTCAGTGCTTTTCCAAAAAGTCTGAAGTCTGTGGAGCTTCTTCATCATGGTCATCCTAGAAGCTTCAGAAGGAGGCGACTGAACTTCTTTTGTTTGGTTCTTGAAGACGTTTCACCTCCAAGAAACTTCTGTAGTTCTAACTGACTAATGGGAACCCCAGATATAAATATTGTTTCCTCCAACTCACTCAGTGGCCCATTAAAAACCCAGAACTCACGTGGCTCAAGAGTTGGGAAACTTCCAGGTCAGGGATGACTCAAGATGGTGGTGAAACTTTCTGGTGAAGGATCTCAGGACTGCATCATAAGTACCTGGTATATTGTGCTGTTGTGCATCTAAAAAATAATGGACACTTCTTTAAGGACATTTGAGAAGGGAGTGGAGGAAGCCATATAAGTACCTGGTAACTGCTTTTGTTGTCGTCCATCTGCATCTAAAAAGCAACGGACTCTCATTTGAGGACAACAGTGTTCACATTCTGGAAAGAGAAGACGGGTAGTTTGAGAGAAAAGTGAAGAGGCCATCTATGTTATACCGGAAAAGCCATCTCTAAACAGAAAACAAAGGTGGTCTACAACACCACTTATCTGGGGAGAGATCTGCATTGTACGTACCTGACACCCAGTCTTTTCCAGTTCAACATAGAGGACTTCCTCAAACCATCTGATTGTGAACATGTCTGTCCTCTCATTATGCTTCAGATGCACATGGACGAAGACGCTAATTATCAGATACTTACGATGCAGTCTTGACATCTCTCTCCAGAAAGTTTCTCAATCATTACTTTGCACTTTCACAAACATTTATTAATCGACCGCCAGCCACACGAGCTGTGGGTGACGATATTTATCTGGGACTCCACTTTAGATGCAGGTGGACAACGACACCAATCCCCACGTACTCGTAATGCCATCTTGAGTTTTTTCACCAGAATGTTTCTCCATCATTTCCATCTACAGTCCTCCCTGACCGGGCAATTTCACAACTATTGGCTGAACTGGTGCCATGAGTGCCATTAGAACTGAAGAAGCCACCTTAAAGAGAGGTGAAATGTCTTCAAAGACCATAAAAAAAATGAGGCTTTTTGGACCTAAAAGTGTCTTTCAAGTATCCATTTCTGTTCTGTGTCTGCACTAGAAGTTAGTTTCTTTAAAGCAGCTGCAGGAAATGTTGAGATTGCATTGGCAGCATACTAATAGTTGAAATGCATTATAGGTGCACATGTCTGCTTTCTGCAAAAAAAAAAAAAGAGTTGTGTTGTCTGGTAGACGTGTTCTTCAGCGCTGTTCGTCTCCAGGATGTGTTATACGCCGTTCTCAGTTTTTTTTTTTCTTCCTTCAGCTCATCAGGAGGTCACAAAAAGCCTCAGGCAGCCCGCCTACCCGCTTAGATTTAGATATGCAGCGAAAGCCCTGAAAGTACATCACACGATGAAAGAACAATTTTGCTTTCCTCACACCGTATTAACAATTCAAATCAGCGCCGTATAAGAAATCTGACTGAAGACGGTCTTTGTTCTTGTTTCGCTTTCTGTTTGATGTTTCTTTTCCATGTGTGAGTTTTTTCAATCGAGCTGCCCTCCTGTTGCCTGCACACACTGAGCGGGGCTTCCCTCCTCCTAACACGACTTGTGTCTATACTTGCTTCATTATTTAGCAGTTTATCTCGGTCTTGCCCACATTTGTTTTGCATTAATCTGGAAAAAGAGGGATGGATATTTGAGATTTATATGTAAGCTTTCGGTCTCGACGTTGCACGTACTGAGGGGATTAATGTGCTATATTTAGGAGGCGCTGATTGGCTTGGGATGATAAATTCTTCTCTCTTTTCCAACCTTCCTAATTGAAACAAAAAGCCTTTGTTTGACACTACTGATGACTTGCACAGGGGCCTGACAATAGACAACAGTATGATAATGGGAACATTTCCAATCTGTTTTGATGTTGGAACCAAAAACAGATTTGACTTCCTAAGAGTGTTATGCTTGTGAAAGTTATATCCAGATTTAAATAACACTGGTGCTGTTGTTTCAGTGGTTCTTGGTTTTGGGGGTTGGAACCACCAGGTTAGATTTCAGGGTCACTAAGTACATCTTATTTTTTTGGGTCTGAAGGTTTAAGCATGTGTTTCTATTGTTGTAAAAATAAGACAAAAATGTGTCAATTTATGAGTTTTTAGGGATAAGAATGGGATGTTTTAAGATGAGAACAAGACAAGAATGTGCATTTACAGTAAAGTATTCTGTACAAGTAAGTGCAGTTTCTTGCTGCACTGAAATGTGGATTTAATTAAGGCCTTACACAAAGGTGTGGATGCAATTAGGAGCAATATACACTGCACACAACGCCGTAATGTGCGAACATTACCCACATTCTGCTCCCGGGAGATGCGAGTAGCAATTAAAAGCTGCAGAAAAACACTGCAGTATGTTTTCATGAGCTCGGGCCCCTGTCAGAGCGATCATCTTTAATCAGGAGACATTACCAGATAAAGTGAGATGGCATTTTTTTTGTCTCTGCACTAATACAACCTCTTAAAACCCCACCGCCGTCCTCTCCGGGGACTCGTTGTGCCTCCGCTTCCTGAGATTGTTCTAATTAAGACTGATGCAACTGTTACATAATACACCGCAATCCCCAAAAGCAAACGTAGATGCGTGACCCTATATCGGAAATTTTATATAGTCTGCCTAAATTGCTTTTGCTGCAGGTTTTCCATTAGTCTTAACTTGTGAACTCCCAGCGTGGCATCACAACACGTTAAATTATCAATTACATTAATGCACTTTTGCCTTTTTGTTTTTTTTCAGTTCATGCTTTGATACAGATGAGTGCACTTGAATGGGATGTTACTGAATGCATTGTGCCTTTTTCCCCTTTTAAATTTTGACCTTATTATAATAGTTTTCCTTTAATTCCCATTGTGATCTCTGCCTTTAAAAAAAAAGCCAAAAAAAAAAACCAAGGGTGCAGGCAAAAGACATCAACTCTTAGGTTACGTAAGGTCAGGTATCACCATGCCGTGATATTGTATAGCCTCTGACTTCTTTTCCTTGTGTTTTTTCTCAAGATGTGGATATTCTGCAGCAGCTTGGGCTTTCTGGGCGAAGAGCCGGCGGGTCTTCATCCTCAGGCGCTCGATCCATCCCCAACGGCATCATCCCCTTCAAGTCCGGAGTCATCCTCACCCCGAGGGCTCGTATCCAGGCGCCTCTGCACACTGTCATCCCTGCTAGCTTCAACACCACCAGCCTCTCCTTGATCCTCAGCCTCTCTGTTCACCGCACCAACAACGCCTTCCTTTTCTCGGTGCTGTCCAAGAAAAGGAAAGTGCAGCTCGGAGTGCAGTTTGCACCGGGGAAGCTCCTGGTGCACGTGGGACCGAGGAGCTCTGTGAGTTTTGACTATGAAGTCTACGATGGCCGCTGGCATAGTTTGGCTTTGGATATTCGAGGACATCGGGTGTTCTTGCACACATCTTGCGGTAGGGAAAGCGTGCATGCGGATTTGTTTTCCAAAAAAGAGGAGGGCCTGGATCCGGAGGGCTCTTTCCTGCTGGGCAAAATGAACCACAACTCGGTGCCATTCGAAGGTGCCATCTGTCAGTTTGACATTTATCCCTCTGCTGAGGCAGCTCATAACTATTGTGATTACATTAAGAAACAGTGTAGAGAAGCCGACACGTATCGGCCCGTGCTTCCACCCCTGCTACCTCTGATTTCCACAGATCCCAACATTACTGTTGTAACTCCACTGTCGCTGACGGAGATTTCCAAAAAGGCTCAGGCACCTACTTTGGCCTCCAACACCAGGACTACAATTCTTGTTCCAACCGATCGCTCGCTGATGTTGAATGAAACATCTGCGTATCAGATCGTGAGCACTCCGAAACCTGGTGCCGTGTCCGTATCTCCGCCGGTTCATCCGGGGTTGGAAAGCCCGTCTAAGTTTCCAACTCAGACTGTTACTACGTCTCTTAGGATCAGCGTGACTCCACCAAACCCCGAGCCACATCCACACGCCAGAAAGAACACAGAGCAGGGGGATGCTAGCCGTCCGACGCCTTCTGGGAAACGTTTACCTGTTTCCAGCGGACCATCGGAGGTGAAGCCAAACCTCCAGACCACGGATGCTTCCACACAGGGGTCTCCTTCCAACACCTACGCTCCCCATAAAAAGCAGCTAACCACAGTAGCTCCAAAGAAACCTGAGCCAAAAGTGACCAGTGTGCAGGATGTCAAACCCACCTCGCTTGTTCCAGTCACCCCAGCTGCCACAGATGGCTTCCAAACATTTGACCTGGAGCCGACTCAGTTCTCGCTGCTCGCTGGACTACCTGGACTAAAGGGAGAACCAGGACCGCCGGTGAGTGTTTTAACACAAATCTCTGCCTGAAACCCATGAGCGAGCACATGCACGAGTTAGAAGAACTGTTTGTAAAATGATTAGCAGTGTTTGTAGTGTCGAGCCTGTGGGGTTTATTTTAGAATGAACTGGAGCTATTGGATTGTGTTACGCTCCACATTGAGATGCTTTGGCCCGGTTTCCAAGCACATATCTGGTACACAATGACACACGAGTTTGGCAGCTTGTTGTTTGAATGTTGGCTTGTTCGCTCTTTGAGGTCCGGAACTGCTGCAGACGTGGATCCTGATGCGTCTCCTGATTTTGTGGTTGTGTAAATATGGCTGTCACAAAGCATCTCTGAAATCAGAAAATTGGAAGGTCCTACTGCCTGCTAGTGTGTTAATGACACGTTTTCAGAATTGCTTTTTTCCTCATGAAATGCCTGCATGTGGTGTTAACGATTTTCAATCCACACCACGTCGGTGCTGATTAAGGTGTGATTTTTCATTTCAGCAGCAGCAGCGTTGGTGGAAATTGTCGGGTTTATAGTTGGACTCTGCTGCCAGTTAGCATTTGTGTTAGCAGAGGGGCTTGGCGGCGACGTGTTAGATTCCTCTGAGAGGGAGTGTGACTGCTCGGAGAATGGATACTTTTAAAGTAGGGTCAAAGGGAAAAAGGGATAAAGCACTTGCGCACAATTAACCATTCAGAGTAAATATTTAAAGGCCCCGACAATATGAATGCAGCGCTTTGTCCCCCGTTATTGAGCACCACAGGTTGTCTTGGTGGAAATGTTACCATCATGTACAGGGACTGCAGGAAATGGAACTTTGTCTTTTAGCTCTTTACAATTTCATTAAGAAAATGGCAAAAATAAAATGCATAATTCACTGATTTTTTTGTTTGTTTTTACTATGATTAATTTAGCCTCTGTTAAGCCCATAAACTTGACATGGGGAGTTATATACACAGTAAACAAGTATGTGTTCATCTATAATGTCAGTCTTTTTGAGTTCAATCAGCAAACTATGTTGAGTTTGGGAAATTAGCTTTAAAGTACTTTTAATTATTTAATAATTGGTAGCACAAACAAAGTCTTTAAGTTGATTATTCATACAAATTAAGGTATTCTTACTAGTTTTTCCACATTATTTAAAATTAATTTATGTGTTTTATGTACCAAGTTTTTAAGTTTGCAAACATTTCAAAAATGTTCTCGCTCTAATTACTCCTCATCAGTTTTTTTTTTCTTTTTAAACTTTTGGGTTTTTGCAGACTTTTAAGAAATTAATTCATTAAACAACAAAATAGTTGTTGATATACTTTATTATTATTTTGTACTGCAATTGTGTATTTCAACATGTTTTAAAGCAAAAACAACACAAATTTAAATTCCTTAACAGATAATAAAATACACATGAAAAGCCCCTGTGCCTGAGTAGATTTGTCAAATGAAACTTCATGATTTCTATCCACTACTTTGCTAAACTGAAGGGAAGGATGGACGTATTTCTCTGCTATGACTAGCATTAGCTAGGTGCAGCATCCATCGACTGTATGAGCAGGTGAAGCCTGAACTCCGCACACGAGTCCACTGTTGGTCATATCACAACTGAAAATATTCCCAAATATACCACAATATGTGTAAAAGACATGATACTCACCTTGAAATTTCCTTTGTATCTTATTTGTTCAGCCTACAGACATTCACAATGGTCTGCAGGAGTGTTTATTAGGGAGAAATCCTGAATACGTGGTGGAAAAAAAAGAAATTATCGAGCCAATATCATGAAGTTGCAACAATTTGAATTCAGTTTTCAGTCGACCAATGCAGAAATTTGACTTTTAATATTGCAAAATATTACATTGATGCCATTCCCATCATTGACCCATCCAAATAATGTTTGCAACTTAATGTTTTAGATCTAAATCTGTAAATTAAACTTCTAAATCTCTCATTCATTGCTTTAAGTTCATGTTGCCCATGTGGCCCTGTTCCTCTTTTAAATACCAAATGGTTACTCACATTTTCCGTTGTTAAAAGCACTTCTCTGCTTTTTGTGTTAGTCATGTTTGAGGAGAAACAGTGCTTTAAAGTGAAGTTTTCCTGCTTTGGCAGTGAGGAAACCACAGCTCAGTTTGCCCTCAAGAGAAGAAACCAGTCAGCATCCAACCCTGTGAGGGGCAAAGGTTGCTGAGGATTTGCATACTTGTATTGTTTGCTAAAGTTTTAGTCTAAACAGATTGCTCATTTAGATGCATAATCTACAATTAATTCACTGTTTTTGGTAATTGAGCCATTTCAGTAGTTGTTTTTCTTAATTTGATCCCCGTCCGCTGGGATTAGGGTTGATGCTGGCGAGCCACGGCTGTTTTACTAAAGGCTGAAGCTTTCAGCTGCTTACAAGAGGAGGAATGTTTTTGAAAGTTAATGTGACGGGATCCGCTGCAACTTTTATATAAGACATAACGTCAGCTCTGACAGATGATGTAAATCACAGCTCTGAAGAAGTGAGGATGAAAGAGATGATTTGATTATCAAGTAAGGAGGACTAGATGCCATGGCATTGCATTTAGGATGCTTATTATGTGTTCACGTGTGTCGGAGGAAGATGTCAGCAACACAGAAGAATAAATAATACTTTTTTTAGATCAGCTTTTTAGTTCCATACCAAACTCTGGCTACATTGCATAACATATGTTTTCATGCATAAGTATCTATATGCAGCTATTATCATCTTTAAAACTGTATTTGACATTTAATTATCATACAAATGTTGCAGTAATGGGTGGCATTTTGCCTCGTCGTGCTCGTCTGGTGTAATTTTGGTGATTGTGGAAAGGCAACATGGCTCTCAAATGTGAGGGTTTTGCAAATAAATCAATGACATTAATGTCAATAGATACTCATCAACATGCAGGTGATCCAACAGTAGAACTTGAGATAAACAGTTAATGCCATGAAACCACAGCGTCATGATTATGAACACTGACCATGCTTAGCTCAAATAACTGTGACTCAGCGATTATGTAATAACACAGACAGGCCTGTATACATGTTTTTAATTTGACGAAAAGAGCTTTGGTTCAGTATTCTTTTGCTCTGATCAGAGGAAAAAGTGGAATCGGTGCGTTCTTTTGAGCCGTTGTGTCCTCCTGTGTTCCTCTTCAGAGAACATCGCTGCCTTTTAAAGCCGCGCTCCGCCGGGACTTTACGCAACTTTTCACAGATCAAATAGTTGTAAAATTGAAAAATGATTCCACTTGAATTGCATCTCAATTCAAATTATGACTTGAACCTCGAGTTTCAAAGCCTTGAAAATGTTTTATTTATGAAAATTGTACAAATTCTATGAGGACAGGAGCTCCGGTGCTGCCTTGGCACCGACCTCAGCAGCGACCGCAGCTCAGACTACTTATCATGTGCGGACAGCCTGATGGTTGCAATCTTAAGAATCTAAAGGTTGCTGAAAGGCTTTTGGCTTTGCAGAGTGTATGCTGGATGAAGGAGTATAATTATAGCTAGTGGTCCTGTCTGAGCCAGACAGAAGTGCTCTATACATCTGACATTACAGTAGCCCAATTTCAACTGGGCTGCCTCGAGCTGTTTTTAGGCCCATTTTCCTTTTTTCCCTCTTTAAACTTCTTGAGCTCTGGGAAAATAAGTAACATCTCGAGCAAACCCAGGTTCCTTCAGATTGACCCCTCATTAAGTTTGACCTTTCCGAGCTTTGCTAATCCATGTATGAAATTGTTTTAAAGCTAGCTGATGCTTTATAATTAATGTGATTGGCTGTGGCTGGAACCAGTGCCGACCTCCCTGCCAGTACAATGAGTCAGACTTACAGTCGACGCACTGTAGTGGTTCTGGACTGAAATAATATTGGCTGCAGAAGGAGAAAGGGGGCTGCGCTCGCTCCTAACAAGACATCCTCACGCCTGCCAGGCTCTCACTGACAGGGCGCTTTGCAACTTTCAGCTAACTTCGCCGAATGTGTCGTCAGGGGGTGGAAAGAAACAAAGAGAGAAAAAGCTCAGGATGTTTTCACTGATTGAATATCTGGCTTGAGTGACTTTTATAGGATTTTTCTTTACTTTGAACACCCGACACTTGCTCTGTATTATTCAAGACTTCCTTGAAATGACACGACAAAAAGTCAGCAGCTCCTTATTTCCTTGTCTGTATTTTTAGGCCCCTGACTTTTTTTTAAAATTATCTTTTCTCCTCTTTAGGGCCTTCAAGGACTTCCAGGGTTGCCAGGAAAGCCAGGCAAGAGGGGCCCACGGGTGAGCATGTCGCACTCACATCCCCAACCAAGTTTCCCCCCATTCACCTTGCCACTGTTTTCTTTTCTTAATTCTCCTACAGTGTGTTCGACACTCTAATGACACCTTTGGCCGTGGGGGGGGATCACACCATTAGCTGCACACTAACACAGAAGACCTTTGATCAGGCGCTCGGTGGCATCTTTGGATTACGGGGAATTATTCAGCTAGACGTTGGTTTGCTTTGGCGCTGGGTTTGATCAAGCTGTGCTTCTCTCGCTGCCAAGGTCCATTTGTAAATCTGCAGAGCAAACAACCGTAATCTACAAATCTGCGGGTTGCCAATGCGAAATTAACTGAGCACATAAGGAAGGTATTAGACGGACAAGGAGGAAAAATAAAGTCACTTTTGAAAGTATACATGCACATACCGTGTGTGTGTATATATGTATTTCCAGAACAAGTACTTATTGCTTAAATCAGGCATAGATCCTACATCATCAGTGAATACTACTAGTGTGTTCAACTTCATTCTCATTCTGGGGTGCAGCAACCAAACTGAGAACATGCAGATGTTGATTTAAGCTCATGTTTTCAGAGTAAACATGAGACAAGTGAAAACACTGGGACATGATTTGTTGTTCAGATGACATTATAGGACACTAAAGCTGGTGTGTAGCTACTTCTTCACCTCAAACTTGACATTTGGCTGGTGACATGGCAGTTCTTGGTTGCTCTTTTGCAGAGCACTTGTGCTACAGAGGAGTGAGTGAGTGAGTGTCGGATCTACCTGCTGCAGCCCGTGAGACTTTCGCCCTGCAGTTGGGCCTCAGGGGTGGGTTGTGGGAACCCAATCTACTTTAAACAAGGAAGAAAGAGGGCTTTGTCCCCATCTTATTAAAGGCATTTAAGACCCTGTCTGGAGCTCAGTAGCTCTATCCAGTCGCACACCAACCTCTATAGAGTTCATTCATCATCAAGCTCTTGAGACCCGACCTGCAGGGCCACACCGGCTCAGAATGCCAGGCTGCAGTTGAGGTTTTTTACTTTTCGTGAACTGTCAGAGTTTTTTCCTGGATAGTTCACATGATTAGAAGGAAAATACCTCCCAGCCACACACATGATCTGCAGAGAGCTCACAAGTGGACTCTGGTCCTGCAAAGCCTGAACAAACATTTGGATTCAAAGTGACAGTCACTTAAGTTTTACACTTGTGCTTCATTTATATATAATCTACAGCAGAGTTGTAGCCCCAGTTGGTGGTCATTTGTCAAGAAAGTCAAGTTCACATTTGAATTAGTCACATACATAACAATGTTTTTTGAAGGCAGACTTAATGAACCCTTTGAACTCAAAGCAGTTTCTGTGCCTTTGCTCCTGTCTCATTTTTACTCACTGTGGGCTCATTTTTCACTGAAGTCCTGCACCTCCGATGGAAACAGCACAACCAGGACGAGAAATAAAACAAAAAATCATCTGTAGCGCAGCATAAAAAGTTATAGTGCCATACATGAGAAAAAAGTTGCATTTCTTTGATTGCTTATTTAACAAAAAATGAAATTGAATCAGCAACAGCAATAGCAACATTTTTTCAAAGTGCCCACAGTTGTTAAAAATACTGGATAAAAAAAAAGTGTGCACTACATTCTGTAGATATTTACATATTTTAATACTTTAATACATGTTTAATTAGTTGTTTTTTTTTATTCTTGTCTTCCCCAGTTTAGCTGAATTTTTTGTCACATGACTGTTGGTCACAGCTGAGTCAACAGTAGTTATTAAGCTGCACTGATGAGTGCAGAATTTTTCAGTTTTGACAGAATCTGGTTCGATCAAATGGTTTGTTTTTGGTAAACTTTTAAACGAGAAAAAAAAGAATAAAGTGATTATGATGAAATATCACAACTTTAAACTTAGATTTGGTTCCCGACCATATGGCACGTCACAGGACAGGGGGAAGATGTCAAAAATTTCAAAATTCTTTTTTTTTACAGTTTCTTCCTCAGTTTTGTGAAAACAACACACGTTTCATGCAGGATTTGGAATTCAGAGGGTTAATTTGGAAATATATAAATATGTGTGGTATGATTTCTTTCTTTCTTTCTTAGTTGGACGAGACAGTGCATATTAATGAACGTACAACCACAGGGCTGCAGTAAATATGTCGGATTTAGCACAAGGCTAATTTCCATCCATTGTCCCACACATAAAATAAAATTGATAAGTCTGGTGACAGAGTTGTGGTTAAATGCACATTGAGGTAGCAGAGCATGTAATTTTATCTGCATGTGGGACTTCAAACCAGCGCCACAGGGTCTTTGAAGTTAAAAGACTTATAGACTTGTACCATTTTACACTTTGTTTAGGGATAAATTAAAAGATTTACAGGAAAGATGCGAGAACGTCCACATTATGTAAGTTTAGTACAGTTTACAAGATCCTTATTGTGAAGTTTAAAGACCTCAAGAAGTTGAGGATGTGTGCGATGAATTCATTCCCCTCTGCGCTGTCGAGTGTTCAAAGAGCACCTCCAATCGTCAGCAGTTCATGATCTCATTTCACCTTCGCCATCCGGGTCAGATGCAGAGAAGGTTGCAGGGAGATGCGACCTGTCTGGGAACGTGTCGGCATTCCTGCTCATCATTAAAACTTAACTGCACTTGGAAGGACGTAGCACCACGGGGGCTTTACCTCTCTGACAGCGAGGTGTCATGTCTGACCGGGCAGACAGTCTCAGTGCCGCCACCGCCTCACAGCATCTCCTGCACGTGAGTGCGTCCACGTTCCTTTGACATTGCCGTGAGCCGGAGTTCAGGGGAGGCTCGTGAGCAGATCAAAGAGGGCTTTGTGTAGAGAAGCTGACCTGCCAGTGTGCGGTCAGTATGTGAATTTGAAAACACTTGTGTAATTGCTCAAAGAATCTATATGATGAGAAATAATAAGGAAAAGGAGCTGTGTTGTGCCACTGTTTGATTAGTGCATATAACTGGAGTGATTCATGTAGGTTGTAAACATTAGATTCTTCTGAAATGAACCACATGTGTAGGCATGAATAAGCAGTCTCTCGGAAGCTTGATTAAATTTTTCTCTGTCATTATTGGTTACGCTGACGTTTTCCATACTGCTCGTACTTAAGCTAATGAGGAGCACATTTAGAGCTTTCAAAACCGTCATCATCATGGTGGAGCTCGACTGATGTGGGATTTCTGGGACCAATTTTAGGGAGTCAAACATTCTAATATTGATGTATCAGCTAACAATCTTGTGGGACTGAAAAGGAAAAATGATGGGGTCACTGTTCATTAGCTCTCCAGTGATGTATTTCTCTAAAACAACTGAGACACTGCTTGACTCCGTACCAATATCTGCTACATGTGCTGCAAACAAAAACCTATTTGCTCTGCATGACTGAACTAAGTGATGACACTATTTCAAGACTATCTATTTTTTTGTTTTATGTTCCAGAAAGTAGGTTTAAAAATGGTCGCATATGGCGTCTATGCTAATATCAGCCCAAACGAGATATCGGTCGGGCTCCAATCATCATCACTGATCCTCAACAGTAAAACTGAGCATGTGTGAATCTCTAGATTTGTTAAATTGCATCAATTTTCCATCTGTTGCATGAATATGTATGTAAATCTACTGTAACCAGAACCCAGTTAATGAAGATGTTTACATCAGCTGCTCTTAGCATATGTTGCACTGCTGCAGAGGAGGTGACGCATTTTATATTCCCAGCTGCGGCAACAGTAGTTTGTTTTGGATAAAGCTGCAGAGCACCAACCCTCCAAACAAATGTGACACATGAACAGCAAACCCGACGAAAAAGCATTAAACTGAGAAGTCAGTTAAAATAAGTTAATCATGTCAGCAGTTTATTAACCAAAACACACTTTTCATTATGTTTTGACATTTTATAGACCCGACAGAAAGTTAATTAAAAGCATAAAAAGATTGGCAGGTTAATCATTATGAAAACATGCTAAAGTTCAGTCGCAAAAACCGCCAGAACGGTGATCTCAGGGAGGCAATTAGCACTTAGTTAGCAGCGAGTTCTCGACTCTTAATAAATAAATAGGAGCTAAGGCCCTTTTAATGTATGTTATACTGCAAAATCATCACAGTGTTTCCATGCGTGCAGTCCAGCGGAGGTGTTAGCGGGTCTGTTCGGGGTTAACGGCCTATAAAAACAGTAGCGCTCCACGCGTCACTCCTGTAAAAAGCCAGTGGCCCACGTCGTAAAGCCGGTCGCAGCTCTGGCACACAGGTGCAGGCCTCAGGTGTGAGCGTGTGCTTCTGTGTTTGCTTTAGCGTGTTGGTTTATTTGCTGGTGGCCTCTAAATGGTTAGCGGCTCTTTTTCAATAATCAAGACGATGCTCAACTCCTCCTCCTCCTCTTCCTCCTCTCACCCACGTGCAGAAGAAAAAGGTGCACTGAGTGACTCATCCCATCCATTATTCTCGTCTCCGCTGGGATGTCGCCCGCCCACCTTGTCATCAGCGCCCTGCCTCCTTTACCTTCTTTACCGCAGGAATGCAATTTGTAATACTCTGTCCCGACCTCCCTATTCCTCTCCTCCTCCCTCTTTTTGCTTCGTATCTGGAGATAATGACTTCCATACGTTTTAATATCGAGCGAGTGAAGGAGGGAGGGGGAGACCGGTCTGAATAGAGGAGGAGGAGGAAATCTGTAGATGAGCTTCTGTTAAGTGCCTCCATATGTCCAGCAGCGAGCAGCCTGCAAGGGGGATAGGTCTGGCCTGGTTTGAGAGGAAGAACTGCCTGAGCTGCTCGACTCTTTTCCTACTCCGTGATAATAGAGCTCAGATAAATAGCGGCTGGATCACCCGCCTGTACACTTACACCTCTTGGCCCCCGTAATCCTATCCTTCACTTTTACCTCCAGCTCGAAGGGGGGGGAAAAAAAGGGTCTCTTCAATGGAAAGTCTGAAAAAAAAAACCTCCAAAGAATGGGCTTCAGATACAGTAGCTTCCTGTTCCGAGCATGTTTCAGCGCTTTAAATTTTTTCTCTGGAGAAGATTTCTCCCTGCTCAGCGTTTTCATCCCCAGTTGAACCGACGACTCTTCACTTGGATGCCTTCGGGAAGTTGCGGCTTTAATTTTTCCAAACAATCCTTCTTTGCAGACTGCTTGAATTTATGGTCCCCTTCAAAAAAAAATAAAAAAAATGTGGAAAAAAAAGATCTCCTCATTCTCTGCACCCTCTGCTCACCTGACCCGATTTGCGGTAGGAAGATGGCCCGTCGTGATAAAGTATTTGGCACCGATGGCTTGATGAATTACGCTAAAGCGCCTCATATATCACAGATACCTACAGTTTTCGTGGCACAAAGCGATTGAAGGAATACGATGTGATGGATGAGCGGCCTTCGCTTTGTGGGACCCCGGGAACCAGTGGAAAAGTGTAAAGATGAGGGAAAATCGCATCCATATGTCATAACTTAGACACATGAGGCGGGCAGCAGACACAGTGTGTCCATACACAAACACAGAGGGACCTCGGGGCACCGCCGGCCTGCCCCGTAACACACATACATCTGCAAATACCTCACATATAGAGCTGACTCCCCGCCCCCTCCTCTTGGAAATGGAGGTCTGCTTAACGACCCCCTCGCTCACCTTTTAGTCTTCTCTTAATCATGTGTGTCTCTGTTTTCAGGGTCCTCCCGGCCCACATGGAAATCCTGGCCGCCCCGGACTGCCTGGAGCGAAGGTATTACGGCATTAATGATTCAATAATGTTGAAGGAAAACACTTAATCTACACCGCAATAAAAGGATCCAGACTCCAATCATTTCCTGGTTTTTGCGAGCCAAAGAGTTAATGGAACACTCTTTGATTTCACATCCTGCAACCAAAACAATTTCAAAGCGCTGGAATCTGCTAGCCTTGTCAAATTGATTGACCGCTGCTACTATTATGTAATGATAATCATAGATTAAATAATAAAGCTGGCGGTGTTTAAGGTTTTTATTTTTTTTTCCCGCAAGAAAGGACCAGAAACAATAAATTCAACCTTCCAGAAAGTATTGCCTGCCCGGCTAAAACTGATATATCTTATTTCTATGAGCCAGACACCTCCATTGTTTTCCAGATACGAATAAAAACACTTCATCGAGCCCCACTGGTGTCGCGTTCCCACACAAAACAAAGAACATGGCCACCGTTCTGAGTCGATTCAACCTCCACTGTCCTGTTATCTGAAATACTCACTAACACAAGAAAAAGTTTCCAATCCAATGATTTACTTCTATTTGATTAATGTTCGCCAACAACTGCAGTACATAACTTTTTTTAAGAAAAAAACGAAAACCCTAAAAAAAAATGAATAGGTATCGGTGACCCCTTTTTAAAGGGGAACCAGAGAAGTTGTGCACATGACGTCCAGCAAAAAGTACTAGTTCATCCAACCATCGTCAAATACATTGTGTGTCTGAAGCGAGATGCTATCAACGTTATTTTCACTGTCTCATGAAAAAGACATTTAAAAGATGTTATTTGACAAATGCTCTCACATCTTCAACAAGTAATCGAATAACCAAGAAAATAAACAACAGACGAATTGAAAATAACGGTTAGTTGCAGCCCTAAAATCACATTTGACTGTTTTACAGTGTATTCAAAAGACAAACTCTTTGGTTAAATCAGTGCAGAGGTGACAAACTCCCACGTCAATGAGAGTTTAGTAATAAAAAGGCACTTTTATCACCTCCAGACACTGATTTTCCCTTTTTTTTCGCCACCTTAGATAGTTTTTCCTGCGTTGCATGCGTTGATAAAAGCCATCCCGTGAGTTCTGAAGTGTGTGTTCAGATCTGCGGCCTTTTCAAAGTGTTTACACCTTACAGGCCAACGCTCCCTCGTCTTCAGGCTGGCCGGAGGGAGACTCATGATTCAAGAGTTTTTATTTGTCGCATGCTCTTACAGGATGTGCAGTGAAATGTAACGTGACTGTTTTTCCTCAATAATAGAACATTCTTTTAAAAAATAATGGTAAATTGCATATTATACCTCATAAGGTTTGTCTTTAAGTATCATTGGCTGAGTGCTACAGACAGAGCTGAGAAAAACAGCAAATATTGCTTATTTTTGGTCAATAAGATTTGACAATAGGAAAAAAAAAACTGAATAATTTCACACTTACCCCTTTTTTTTATATGGTCAGAAATTATATTTCTATAAACAGGTCTGTGTTTTCAGTTGTGATCAGCTCACGATTACAAAAACCTCAAAAGTTACGCAAAAGTTATGAGCATCCATCCATTATCTATACACCGCTTAATCCTCACTAGGGTCGCGGGGAGCTGGAGTCTATCCCAGCTGACTCAGGGTGAAGACAGGGGACACCCTGGACAGGTCACCAGTCTATCACAGGGCTACACTTAGAGACAGACAACCAAGCACACTCACATTCACACCTACAGACAATTTAGAAAAATTATGAGCATTTAAAGTCAAAAAGAATTGTTTTTAGTTATCAAGCACTTTTTGAAAAACCTGAATTGAATCAATATTTGCTGTGATCAGCTCCAATTTAAGCCTTTTTCATTTTGCAAGACCAGATGATTCCTATATTTTGGCTATATGTGATCTTAGTAGATTCACAGTGGAGCAGTTCCTACATGAGGTCTGTAACGTGGAGCTTTTCAGGGGTACAAGTAGTTCTAACCAGAAAAATGTTCCAGTGATGTAAATAAAAACAATGAAATAAATGGCAGAACTTTATATAAGACACAAACACATCATATTCCTTTTAGGCTCCACGTTTAAACGAGGATACCTAAACAATGTAAATTTGAAAAGCGAGGGTTTGTTGTGTTTTTTTTTCTGAGTCATCCAGTGTTTGTTTGTGATTTCACTTCGTTTGCATGTCTGAGGTCAGACACTCTTGGCTTCTTCTACTCACTTGAAAAGCCATTTGTTTTCCCCCTCAGGAGAAAACAGCAGTTTTTAAGGTTTTTTTTCTGTCTCGCTAATTTGCATGTACTTGACACCGGCCCGCGTCGCAGCCGATTCCACTTCTCATCAGAGCTCAAGAGTGTGTCAGTCTGAAATCACAAAGAGGGTCTTCATGTTGTTGGAATAACACGGAAAATTGGTCCTATTTCAAACCTGTACCTAATCCGTTTGAATGCATTGGATTTCAGCATTTTCCACACTGTCTTTTTAGCATTAAGAAGAAACCCTAATTGATACCACACTTTGGCCTGCTTTAAACAGGGAAAAACCATAACTCTTATTTTGTACATATGTGTTAGCTGGAGCCCGAATGAAAAGCCTGGGCCGGCTTAGTTTGACCCATTTGCACACAAACCTCAAACAGCAGACTGTCTGCTCTGGCACAGTTCTCTGCTCGGAGAAAAATGAAGCAGTCGGATGAAAACACGCTGAATTTTGTTGTGAGCGTTTCACCTTTTCTGGATGTGACGATAATAAAGCGAGACAAGGTAATGTTCGGTCACAAAACTACTGTAAGTGGACGTAAAAATGAATGAAAGCACAGAATAAAATCAGTGGAAGGCGCAAGTGCTTATTAAGGTTTCCAGCTTTCAAAAGAAATTACTTCTTTCTCAGCTTAAACTCTTTAGATAATCTTGCTGAGCTGAAACGGTGAAACACGGTGTTGCTCTTGGCTGCAGGATCGATCCTGTAAAGAAATCAGTCTGGAGAAAAATTCCCCCCCAAAAAAACCTGCTTGATGCCAAGTTGTAGCTAAAATGGACATGAATGGACGATGTACTGTAAATGGGAAATGTTGTGTTTCTCTCAAATAAAATGTTTTCTACTGAAGCAGTGAATGTTTTTCCATCTCCATCAAAAAAACGACCCCCATACTTCTTTAAAAACGCTCCTTAGCTGCAGGATTGTACTCGAATGCATCACGTTACAGCATTGCCTCCACGCCCAGCCCTCGATTTATGAGATGAAATGCGTTTGCAATCAGCTGATAACACACAGCTATTGTTGGATTACAGTCCAATGCTGTAACATTATTTTTATCCTTTACATGATAAGCGCCGGAAATGATCTATTTCTCCTTGGACTTGTAACATTATCATTGCTCTTTCACAATCGGACATCGAACGCTGACCCAGACTGCACTGACAGGATTCCCACTGCCCGAAAAGGGAGAAGAATGTACACGGTCACTCCCCATCGCTTCTTGCTGGGCTTGGTGTAAACCGAGTTACAGGAGGGCATAAATGAACTCCACGTTTGTGTAAATACAACCGGCAGACTCGCTAATAAGTAGGATGAACTCATTACTCTGTGATGGGGTAAATGTAAGCTGCAAGTGGCAGGAAATATTCAATGAACATATCTTGCTGCTGGAAAAGTGTCTTGAAAAGCATAAAAAACAGCTTTTTTTTTTTCTTGTTTTTATGTTCCAGGGTCACAAAGGAGATCCTGGACTGTCCCTTGGTCAAGCCCCGAAAGGACAAAAAGTACGCATTTTGTCATTTTTTTTGTCTGAAACATTAGCAGAAATGTTAAGTTGGTTCATTATATGTGACCTAATTTGTCCGTTTAGGGAGAGCCTGGAGTCGCGGGCCCTCCTGGACTGCCTGGCCAAGATGGACGAAAGGTAAAAAAAAAAAAATAAAAGCAGTTTGCACTCACAAACTGAAACTGTGCGTTTGTTTGTGTGTAAATCCACGAGGAAGTCCCTGACTGTTTACTGGCTCCGTCCCATATATGTGAAAGTTCATTTTCTTGGTGTGTGTGTCGTCTCCTTTTACATCCTCGCAGTGCTTTCAGACAGAAATCACAGTGAATGAGTGACTGACTGAGCAGAGTTTTGCATTTGGAGGATCAGTAAATCAAGCGCACACTCGACCCGAGGCCTCTCGTAGCTGCCTTTGAAGGCGGAATCCGTCAGATTGCTGTGTTTGGAGGGTCGAGCCAAACATGAATGTTTGAGCTCTTGTTTGGAAAGCAGCCTAACAAAATGCAGGCGTCAAGGAGCGCACCTGTGTTCTGGCTCCTCTGTGGGTTGGAATATTAAAGGCTTTGGCTATCAGTTCCGTTACATCATTGCCATCACAGGCCCTCGAATGCGATGATGAAGGCAGCTGAGGGGGAAAAAAAACGAAGATTACTGGATGAAAAGTTTTACACGCTTTCTCCAAATGTTATGTCATCGGCTCTCCGGGGAGCAGTTCTTCTGAAAAAGTAGGACAAGTTGTGAATGTGGGTTAGTTCTGTGATCTGGTTCCGCTCAGGAGCGACACTATTTGACTTTGCATACCGCAGCGCTGGGTTATCCTGACAGAGAGTGATGGTAAGCAGCAGTGAGGCTCCGTGGCCTTGTGCATTTTATCCTTGGCCTTTTCCCAAGACCCTCTCAGTAATTACACATCTCAAGTGGGCCAGGGCCTGTTGGGGTTTCCTACTATTGCACAGTGTGCAAACGAAATGGTACACTTTAAATGACTCCCTGCGCTTCTACGTATAGCTTCTTTGAACACAATAGTTCCGCATGACTGCAGTTTTTTTTAGCCAACGTGTGGCTCATTTACTCACATGTATAATCAAGCAAAGTGGTAAAAGTCAGTCGTATGCAAATCTTTAACCCGCTCACCTCCAAGGACTTTCTGGGCTTTTGTTCCATCTTCAACATTTTTACTCGCTGTGGGCTCAATTTTTACTGCAGGGTGAAGTCCTGCACCTCTGTGAGAACAGCACAACCACATCTAGAAGCAGAACAAACAAACAAAAAGTCCTTTAAGCAGCATTACACAGTTAGAACACCATAATCATAAGACAATGAAAAAACTGGATTTCTTGGATTTTTTATTTTACAAAAAAATGTAAAAATTGGAATCAACATGTACAACATTTTTGTCGGCCTGTGTCGTCAATGTTGAAAAAAATTCATTGTGACTCTAGACACACCAAAGATTTCACTACGTATATGTTGAATTTGTTTCCATATTTGTCTCCTGTCTGCCTGCAGTTCAGCCTGGTTTAGTTCAAAGTATTTTTTGTTGAGTGAATGTTGGCTTCACGAATTTGTGCAGAATTTTTTGTGCTTCTACAGAATTTGGGGTGTTTTTGGTTAATTCTTAGTAAGACGTGTAGAATAAAGGGATTTCAATGAAATATTATGATTTCCCAGTGACAGTTTGTCTGAAAGTTGGTAATTCTCCAATAATCCTGCCTGTTTTTACAGATTCTACCTCTGATAAATGGGATAATTTTGGCCATTTACAAAACAAAACAAAACAAAAAACACATACCACGCCTTTCAAAGCCTTTTTGGGTTCATAAGGTTTAAAAAAAAAAAAAAAAAAGAGGCCTCAAACACACAAATAATTGCATGCATTCTTTTACAAGTCCAGTTATTTCCTCCTAACAGCTGTAACAGTAATATTTTAGCAAATGTTATCAAGAGGAGTAAACAATGTACTTGCTGGAAACTATTTTCTGTTTATGTATCGCATTTGGTGCATTAGTGAATATTTACAGCAGCACGGAGACGAGGGATTAATGGTTGTCTCTCAGATCAGTTCATTGTTTTGATGTTTTCATGGGATTTGTTGATATAGAATCACACCAGGCTCATCCTTCAATCATGATCGGACACCCTTTACTGCTTCAGTTTCACAGACGATCAGATCTGCAGCTGAGGTTCAACAGTGATGGTTGATTCCAATAAGCAGCAGGAGTCACAAACTCTTCCACAGCCACTCTTCTTGCCTTCTTTACCACCAGTTACAACCAACTCATCGTCACCGGAGGAAGTCACAACTTCATTTCCAGCATTTCCTCGAGATTCCACTTCTTAGCAGTGAGAATAAACCTTGGAGAAAAAAAGCTCTTAAGCCACTGAGGGATGCAAAAACTCTCCTCTAAAACCCAAACGTATCAGATTTATTTAGGATTATGAGCTTTTCAAGAAGGAGGACCCACCCAACTTACATACTGTAGTGTCAGATTATCGTTAGAGATGTAAATGAGGAGTTCTGGCGTTTTACAGTTTTGCAGGTTACACCCTGTTTTCATTCAGAAATTTTGAGTCACCTGATGGTCCGCTGCAGCCGCATATGATGAGAAAGTCATGAAAGCTTATGTAAAGAAAATCTACAGACGGAGCTTTCTTTAAAGTACACTTGACAGCTTATGATGACCCTGCTCCTTTTGTGGCCTGCTGTCAGAATTATGTTGTGGTGAAGATAGAAGCAAAAAAAACAAAATGAATCCGTACAGTGAAAGGTCACAGCGAGGTCAGAATTTGGACGCCAGAAGGAATGCAAATTAGAAAATGGCTGTTACGCAATGTGAGAAAACTTTTGTAAGCAACTTTATTTCTCACTCAGACACACACACACACACACACACACACACAGCCTTGTCCTCATTTGGGACACAATAGTGCAATAATGCCTTTGGCGGGAGCTCCAGCAGTTTGTTATGCAATCGGACAGGGCTGACTATGAAAAACCATCTGGTGCGCTCAAGGTTCCTCCATTCACTGTAGCACTGCGGAGGACCTTAAAAAAGACAGACCTCTCCTCGTCTGGTGACTCATGGAACATGGAGTCATGGGAAAAAGTTGATATTCTTCCTGCTGATTTATGGTAATTGTGGATTTTTTGCTGGGCGTGCACCAGCGTCCTTGTAACAGACTCCCTTTTTCTTGTTCTTGCGATCAGTTCAGGTGGAATTGTGGTCTGCAGCGAGTTGCCCTGAAAGGAAGTGACTGCTGACAGCCATACAAAGTATTAAAATGCAGCTAATAAAAAGGCAATCAGCCACCAGACACCTCATTGCTTGCAGCTGTTCTCGACTCTTTTTTTTTTCTCTCGATAACTTGAAGCCAAAACTCCTTATAGTGCACTTTCACATTTTACAGAAATTACATCACTTGCCACACATGAAGCTCGGGGTTCATTCTCTTGTCCGTCTAACCAGCCAGTAAAATATGACTTGCCACAGCTTGATGTCCTTCCCCCCCTCTCTTTTTTTTTTTTTTTGCTGACTTTTCTGCTGGCCTGTTGCCAGGGGAAGCTTTTCTCACTGTGTGTAAAGTTGTAATGGGAAGGCTGCCTGGGAGTCAGGCAGCGGTCGGGACTGTAAAGTAAGAAGGAACTGTGTGTCAAAGCGAAACACTGTGGAGAGTATTACCAATTCTGGACCGACGTGCCTTTAATGCAGCCAGCTCTGATCATGGCACGCTGGAATAACACTCAACTTTTTTTACGAGGTGTGCAGCTCTCCACATTTTTTCCTTCCTGCTCCTCAGCTTTGTATAATAACATTCTCATGCCTTCATTTGCCGAGTCTGATCTGTCCAAGAAAGACGGTTTTCCAGGTGAGAAGAAGAAGAAGTTTCTGTGTTCTAATAAAAAAACGAAATTAAAACTGATGAAAAGAACAATGTGGAGGCTGCTGCTGCTCTGCCTCTTTGCTGCAGGGTTGATCTGGTGCGAGTTACGCTAATTAAAACTGTTTGCTCTTCTTAGAGAGGGAGAACTAATGGAGAATGTGATCCACGTTGGATTTACACAACTGTGAAACTTGTCCAACTTTTCTTTTTTTTGTCCATATACAACACACACACATGCACACTTCAGGGACAGCCTCCTTTTCCCTCTTTTTTTTTTTTTTTTTTTACTGTACTCAGCTGTATCGGCTGTGCTGGAAGGCCCGGACGCATTCTTTTGTCCTTCCGCGACTTCATTGCTTTTGGCTCCTGCAGGAGACTCATCTACTCCCAAAAACCCTATAAAATACTTCCAACTCGCTGCACATTGCTGCCTGTCTGCAGATAAATAGAGAAATAATCAGGAGGTTGACAGAACCAGACTATAACAGAGAATTACTGTGGCCAATGAACCAGCATCTGGCTCCAATCTGTGTCCAAAAAGCTGCAAGGAGATGTGACAGAAAATTAGAATCTTGAAAAATAGTTGCCTTTGTGTTTATTTATTTCTCTGCGAGGACTTATTGGACTCAGGAACCGGCTCTAAGACCGGAGTCTCAGCTGATTGCTTTGCAGCTATGGGATAGCTGTAATACATTTTCTGAAAACGCTCCAGCGACGTGCTGTTAATGTCCTTTCTCAGTTAAGATGATGCACTAGACTGATTCTGGACTTTTTATCAATACAAGACGTCAACCTGCCAGCCAGATTTGACGTAGCACCTTCAGGCGTGTCAGTCTCACTCTGCCGGGCCCTCCACTGGGTCCATCAATATTAACTCACGTTCTCCAGACAAAAATGTTTTCAAACCCGCAAAACTCCTTTTTAAATTTTAATCCACACCAAACGTGTCAGGCTCTGTTTCTGCAAAATGCGTGTTAAATGATTCACAAGGTGTACAAGCTATAGAATATTCCCACTTTGAATTTTAGGGTTTAATATTTTATCGATTGTAAGCACCAGAATGCCTGAATGGCGTGTTGGTAGTAGACACAGACTCTGCTAGGCTATACGGTGTGTTGTGTTGCAACAAAGTTTCTGTAACTTTAAAGCAGAAATATTAGTAAAAACAAAAATGTCAAGAGTTCATTTATAAAGACCGTTTATAGTGTTTGATTTCTTGCAGACAGTTTATCATAACTTGTGTCTGCCTTTACTGAGTCAATGTCTCGTGGTTGTAGCTTCTTATCTAACAAACAGTATCGAGAGTTGTCCTAATCTCCTAATCTCCTAATCAAAATGTCAAACTTTGTGGAAGTGGAAAATCTAAATTTAAAGGTCCCATTCGGTGAAAGTCCATTTTTATTGTGTTTGTCTTAAGAAGTTGTAGAGGTAAAATAAAAGCCGTCCACTAGCCTCCCTAAACTCAATAACCTTCACTAGCTTTTGCATCCGTTTACTTCTCTCCTGCTTTCTGTGCTCACATTAGCTCCACTTTAGTGCAGCTGAATTCCCAATAAAGCTGTTCTCTATTACGTGTTTTACTGTTTCTGCTGTCAGACCACTAAATGAGTATAAAATTGTGACGGAAACATCTTAACTACGTCTTAACCGGCCGTCACTTCCACGCTGGCGGTCTGCACCGGACAAACGCACCAAATAAAGACAGATTTGCAGTGAATTCACAGTGAAGTCATATTTTCATGTACAATGAGAAAAAGAAGTGATAAAAAGTCAAGTATTTTGCGGAGAGAGTTTTCTTCCTGAAGGGGGCATGGACAGCAGTAGCTTAGCTGTATTTAAAGCACTGAAACAACCCATTTAGAACATTAGAAAATTAGAAATACTTTTTTTTAAAATGGTGGAATACTGTAGCATTCAAAAATGGTGGAGATAGTGAATATACTTGCAAATATCTGTGAAATAAGTTCAACCGATATCAATAAAGGAAAGCAGTGTCATTTTATGATCACGCATAAAAAGAACAAATTACTGTTTGTAAAGTAGAATCAATATATACAGCAGATGTGAATATAGATTATTCATGTTGACATTGATTACAATTATGTGTTGTTTTTGACGTGTTTTAACACGTAAATTCATACTTTTGTCTGTGATTTGACCAGTTCTGTAATGCAAGGTGGCTCGGTGGTTAGCACTGTTGCCTCGCAGCAAGAAGGTTGCCGGTTCGCATCCCGGTGGGGGCACCGGGATCTTTCTGCGTGGAGTCTCCATGTTTTCTCCGTGCAGCGTGGGTTCTCTCCGGGTTCTCCGGCTTCCTCCCACACAGTCCAAAAACATGTTGAGGTTAATTGGTGATTCTAAATTGTCCGTAGGTGTGAATGTGAGTGTGCTTGGTTGTCTGTCTCTAAGTGTAGCCCTGTGATAGACTGGTGACCTGTCCAGGGAGTCCCCTGCCTTCGCCCTAAGTCGGCTGGGATAGACTCCAGCCCCCCATGACCCTAGTGAGGATTAAGCGGTGTATAGATAATGGATGGATGGATTATCTGTAACTTTAAAACCAAGGAAAATCTGTAAATTGACAATAAACGTTATTTTTTACAGTGTGCAGTCTTGAAATTGTCCATCTTTGCAGTATTTTGAGGTGAAAAGTTGAACGATACATTCTGGAGACGTGACACTTTCATTAACTTGCTGAAAAAGGTGCACAGTATGGGACCTTTTGGAAGTAAGCAGCTGCTTCTGGTTATGGTTTCACATTGAAATTAGGCGTAATCCTGTTTAAAACTCTTACATTTAGTCACATTTCCCTTCATTACTGCCACCCACTGACTGTAAGAAGACTAATCCTCGTATTTGCACTCTGGCTGCGGGTTGGAGTTTACTTTGTGTGGATCTCTTGATCGTGGCTTGTTTGTTTACTCTGATACTAATTTTTCAAGCGTCTGCCTGCCTGTAGTTTACTTGTTATGCAGCTGACAGGCCAACACAGCTGGTGGTTAATGACTTTACAGTTGAGAGGATCGACTTGTTCTTCCCTCTGAGATGACTTCGCTTGACTCTATCTACGCTACCATGGGCCTTGATCGTGGAAAGATTAATACATTTTGTAACCAGCTGGCATGCTCATTTGAGATCACAGTGCATGAAGGTGACCATTAATTACCCTTTTGGGTTTCACGTGCTACCGCCTAATTGGTTTACTGGTCTAATTAATGCAAGATGGTTCAGAATTGTTTTGTCAGAGTGCAGCGGTAGCAATGATTAGACAAAACCCAAAGCCAAGTCGTTGGGCTGAAACAGTAAATAAAAACTGCATTGTTCTTGTGCAGAAATCGTAAGTAAGTGCTTTATTCAGGGTTAACCAGCCAGCGCTGCCGATAAGTGGTCTATTAGTTTCACAGCTATTAAGGTTGTCTTTGCTGTGGAGCCTTTTAAACGAAGCCTTCCAGGTTTTTTATTAAGTTATTTCGTTCTACTTTTTTTTATATATATATAAGGAAACAAAGTCATGTTCTCTCTGAGGCAATTGGAAAATCCTCCAACATAATTTCAGCCCCTGCAGAGCTGACTGAGACGCTCTTAAATACAAGGTGATAAACTCTACAACAACAAAAATTTTAATTGAATTTGGTCATTGGCCATTAAATACGTGCTACCCAAGACGGACGTAATCTCGTTCTCCAAAGCGCATCATTTAGCATCGTGCCTCCCTGTGGTTTTATGATCAGAATTTATACGCCACAGCGTTTGACTTATTGTTGGATGTGCAAAACTCTTAACTTCTTGTTTCTCCATCAACAGGGACAAAAAGGTCATCCTGGTCCTTGTGGTCTCCCAGGTGAACCTGTGAGTATTTTTTAAAAATTTCCTGATTCATGGTTGCAGTTTAATGTACAGTGATGTAAACGTTTAGAGCGGCAGATAACTGCAAAGGTCAGACAAATTTTATATTTTGTCATATAAGCACCAACATCAGGCTTCATGCCACACAAATTTTCAAATTGGCACCAATTTTTCAAGATGGCTGCCATTTCCGATATACAATCCTGTATATTTTTACAAAGCATGATCTTGTAGAGCTTGTGTTTGCTTTTTTTTTTTTTTGCCAAATATATATGGAATCTGGCATGTAAAATCCAAATTTTGTCACCAAGCACCAAAATTGGCCCTCATGCTGCACAAATTTTCAAAATAGCAACAATTTTTCAAGATGGCCGCCATTTCTGACAAACACTCCGAGATGTTTTCACACTACATCATCTTCAAGAGCCATTTGCTTGGCCTTGCTCTCAAAATATATGCAATTTAGAGTGTAAAATTCAAATGTGCATGTTCTAATGCATGTTAAGAACTAGCTTTTGGCCACAGGTGCAATCTGAAGTGGATCCCAGTTCTGTTTCTCATGGGTTGTGACATTTATTCAGCATTCCAGGGAAAGAGTAAGACATTAACCTGGCAGATATGATGATGTTTACATGTTCTGTATATTTTAATCTGACCTTAATCTGTAAACACTGTGTATCAGTGTTAATATTTACTTTTCCGACCACCGTAAAATCTTGTCAATTCAAAATACCCGAGTGAATTTATAGTCTTGTTGGTATCAATAAGCTTGAATTAACTCCCTTTAATTCAATAAAATGTGCTATTCCATTATGACTTTGGATTAATGAGACTTTAGATGCTTTTTATTGCTAGAATTGAATCCTAAGGTGAGACAATGTTGATATAAAAATTGGATCACCAGGTTAAAAGATTAGTTGTTGTTTTTTTTTTAATGGCCTCCATTTTGGACATTTTTTTTTCTAAATGAGTGGTCTAAAAGTAATGGATTTGCCAAATTTGATGCTTGCATGAGATATTTCGTGGTTTTTCAGTTGTCAGACCCACTCGTTACCATGTTTACATTCTTATCCATCTTGACGAGCTGTCAGGGAGGCCCCAGATTTATTCTGAAGTTGGCCCTCCCATAGCCCTGTTCTCGAAACCATGGAGTCAGTTTGTGACACTGAAACAGCCTAAATCCACAGAACAACCGTGGCGAGGTTTCCGAGGCTCTCGAAACAACCAACCTGCCAAATGGCTTGAAAAACTGTACAAGTGCACTGAGGATGATTTGTGCTGGTTTAAAGGGAAAGAGGTCGTTTTGCCAAATATTGATTTGCTTGAGGTTTACTGCACTTTGCACAAGTTGAATTGACAAATAAAAACAATTCATTGAATTATTTTCACAAGCCTCCTGGCTTTACTTTCTCAGCGGTGCGCTGTACGTCACAGATTTCCTCTCATGCATAATCCTTTTTTCTCTCATTCGAAGCGACTGAATCCAATGCGTTCTGTTTATCTGTCTCACGGCTGCAGCGTCAGTGTGTGTTAACTGTATGTCGGTGCATGTTTACTTACCAAACAGACGAGCTGAGAGCATACAGAGACGGTTCCCACAAGGCCTCGGCACGTCTTTCCATTTATAGTTACAAAACAGGAGAGAGAGAGAGGGGAAGGGAATGACAGAGAGAAAAATATTAACACGGAGATGTTGGGTTGGTAAAAAATAGCAGCAGCAGTGACTCTACACTTAGGGAGTTAGAGACATTAGACACAAGTTGTCCGGGAATCTTGGCGGGAAGAGATTTTTGGCAGAGGTACAAGTAGGCTAAATAGTTCGAGCACCCTAGGTCATTCCTCTTCCTTCTCCTCCTCCTCCTCCTCCTTCACTGCTTCCTCCCTGAATCCAAAGTCTGCGTAGTATCTCTGAGAAGAATGTGCCGTGTCACAATGAAACGGTCTTTTTCTGCCTCTTCTAGCTTTGAAAAAGACACAAACAACAGACGGTGTAACATCCAGATCTGTTTTTTTGTTGGTCTACAGCATTCTGAGACTTGTGACTTTAGCTACTGCAGTTGATTTAGTTGTTTTCTAGTCCACTAAACATAAAACGTGGCATTATTTTGTTGTTACTGCGGACGCTCCTGATTGACTGTTAGTCTGGCGGAACTTGTTTATTAGTTACAGGTACTCTGTGGAGATTTCTAGTGAGCAAACCTGTTTACTTTCACACTATAGTATGTTGCTTGCATCCTCAAGAAAAAGCAAACAGGTTCACTGCAATTTCTTCCTCATAAACACTTGCAAATTAGATTTTTATTCTATTTTTTTTTTACATATGTGCATCCTCGTGTTATTAGAGTTCATTGCTCCAACGTGCCCAAAACTTATAGATTCCACAAGTTACCTTTAAATGAGTCCCAGTTTTTGTTTCAGATAATTCTATATTCTTTTTAGTAATGCTTGGCCTGTTTTGCAATAACAACATCTTGTTGCATAGTATTTCTTACTTACATTCAGTGTTCTTTCTAGTAGGTACACCTGTGCAGTTTTATGCAATCCAGTACAACAGTTCTACATTAAAGTGTAACGTTACGACATCTGATTAGGTTTGAATTTTTAATAACATTTCGTTGGACTGTGTTTCTCATATTCTGCATGTAGGCAAACAGGATGCACAGAAGACGAGAAACAAGACCTTTAGCTGGTTTAGCGTCAACAAAAATGCGACATTGAGAGCTTCCTGAAGATGAGCAGTATACGGCTAAATAGTTTTTTTTTAAAGACATGAAAATGTGATTGGAAACGTTGCAGTTAGCAAATCGCAAAGGCCACAGGTTAGGATGTATGTTCTGCATTGTGTCCAGTCAGTGGTTTCACAAATTCATGCCGTCCTCTTTCATCAGAAGTGGTCCACCAACAACAAGGAAAATATCACACTTGTGATGCCAAAAATGACCCCTAAACCAGGAACAGATTTGGAGAATGTATTCCCAAAAGAAAGCAGCATTTTTTTATGATTATTACTGCATTTATTTAATTCTACACAGTCACAGCTTTGGAGATAATTGTTCTGTGCAATATACCAACTTAAAAAACGTGATGAATAAACACTGGAAGTAATTCATACCTTTAATCCTTGCATGAAAATAAGGAGCAGGTAATAATTTGATGGTATCTCGTGTTCATGCTTCATCGTGCTTTACCTTTTTAGCATGACCATATAGCTTTATTTTTTAATGCTGCAAGATGCATCATGAGTGAAATAAGCAGTGAACAACATGGCCGAGCACTTCCACCTTAAAACTGCAGTGTAGCGCACTGGTGGAAGTCTCAAAAAGATGTGACTGAACAAGCGTATAAAACCAAAGGAACCGATCCTGTCTACTTGCAGGGATCTTCTGTATCATTAATGTCCCTCAAGACTGGTTCCTGTACGATTACATACTCCAATCTTAAAACTTATAATAGTATAGCGTAGAGCAGTTTTACAGTGTTGGAGCAAAGTTGCAGGTGAGCTGGTGTGCTGAAGCTGCTGGGAGAGGCGGGGACTTCATAGATCTGCACATCTAAGCCATTTTAGGGCAGGAAGGGATCATTTTCATGGAAAAAGACGTTTTCATATGTAAATTTGATGGGCAGAAATGAGCGTTTAGGGGTTTAATTAATGAGAAAAGAGCAAAATTCTCCCCCAATCATTCAGCCCTAATATAAAGTATGTTATTCAGTCCTGTTGTATCGGACCGCATTACAGGAGACGAACCCAATAATTACACCTATTGCCTCTAATACTACTTCAGCTAATGCAGCTGCTACTACGACCGTTGCTTCTCTGATTCATGATTGTTATTGATGATACATTATCGTTTTGGTCTCTGTTAACATTCTAATTATTATCTAATGTTCCCAGGAAACTGAAAATACAGAAACCCAATCTGTTGCCAGCGTGTGATGAATGCGGTCGGCTTGGGCCTGTAATTTCTCGCATGCCTTCGCTAACTAATCTTGTTTTACTCTCCCCATACATGTAGAATTAAACATTCCTCTCCGAGGGATCCGCTCTCACCACAAGGAGGGAATGACTCATGTATTATAGTTTGCGTGTTGATGAGGATAAACACGGTAGTCTCAACAGCATGTGGCTCGACCGCATTATAATAGCACTTACTGTTGGATTAATTGAACGGCTGGAGTGGCAGCGTCTGTCGTGGCGCCTCTTTCCTGCGGCAACACCGACTCGACTAAACAAAAGGCCCTTATTGAGAAGCCGAGAGATTTAAATTCTTCTATAGGACTGTTGTTTATTGCTGCCTAAACACAGTGCTCGCTTTCAGTTTTTATTACTGTCTTTCTTAGCTTTCTATTACGCCAATCAGCGAGGCTACAACAGAAACCATGTGTGCATAAAAGAAGCCTTTTTTTTTTTTTCCTGCCTGCCATCTTTCCATCCTCTTTCTTCCTTCCTTTTGCCCTTCTTCCCTAACGTCAGTTTCTGTGCTGTCTTTGTCTCCGCAGGGTGAACGGGGAGATGATGGAAGCCCTGGGGCCAAAGGCTATCCTGGCAGGCAGGTGCAGTAAATCTAGTGTTGCGGTGCTAGTTGAGCAGGGCCACACACACACACACACTAACACACCTACACACACACACACAGCGACAAAAATAAAGCAATAAATGGAAGCTGGGATATCATCTCTATTATTGTGAATGTAGCTTTTTGGAAATTGTCCATGTCGGGGCGATTTTAATAAATCAAATTTCATTTAGTAATTTTTTTTTTTTTTACCTGCTGTCAGAATGATGAATATAACAGCAACTACAGGGGAGAGCTGGATTCTTGTATGCTTTCGGTAACTAGGAAATAATAAAATTTAAAGATATTGGATGCCCGCAACAAATCTCGGCCTGCAGCGTCTCAGCCCTAAAAAAATCTAATTTGCTAAACCCAAATAAAAAGTTTGTAGCGGATGAATGAAAGGTCCCAGGAAAAAGCATCACCTGTGGTGGAATTTTCTCAGTGATGGAAGCCTCCTGGTCTAGCGAGGAAATAAAATGTCAAAAGGTTTCCATAGTAAGCACTACCCCGGAGAAAGAAAAGGTAATAAAAGTGTGACTAATGCCACAGCTCCGCGGGTACAAATAAGCTTCTTCTGTCCTTCCAAACTGTGAGCCCCGCCGCACTTCAAGGAACAGTGTCTGACTGGTGAAGTCAAAGCTGGGGAGCGTTAGGGGTTTTTTTTTCTCTGCATTTAAAATCTGTTCCCTCTTAGCTTTAAGCAAATGTAAACTCCGAGAACAGCTGGACGCTCACTTTCGATTCCCTGAATGTTTAAGATAACGCGGAGTTCAGTCGTGGGTCTCTGTGTTTGTGCTTTAACACGCTTGCAGTGTCAGAACTCTGATCCCCATAGACACTTTAGTGGTGTGTGATGGATTAGGTTTTAGCACCCCCTACCATCTGTGGGCTGTGAATCACTGTATGTCGGTGTCAAAAAAAAGGAAGAAAAAAAAAATGCTGCACTTTGCTGTGGGGGAGCTGAGAGTTGATCTTTATAGTTGCTGGGAGAGATTATCTGTGCTGCCGGATTAGCTGACAGTGTTCAAGTATTAATGCTGCAAATGTCAGCTGTGATGCTAATTAGAGTTTTTAAAAAAAGGGATGAAAAAATGTGTGTTTATCTCTTTTCATTTTTGCAGAATTGTAACCACAGAAATGTGCTTTGTCGTCTGTTGCATTTAGGGTTTACCTGGGCCTGTAGGAAAGATGGGGCCAAAGGGAGTCAGGGTAAGTAGATGTCAGAAAAATACCACCTTAGCATCCTTTAACAATCTCTTTAAGGTGTTGGATCTAAATCCTCACACTGTCTTCCTCCCTGTTTTTGTATTCCTGCCATGCCTCCCCGCTCATCTTCCCCTGACGGCCACGGGGGAAAGAAGCATGTTTCTCCTCCGTATAATAACGCTGTTGAACTTTTGCTTTCTTAAATGAACTGTGAAATGCCTGTTAAATGAATTGCTTTAACCAATGTGGGCACATAAAAAAGTGGCCAGTGTCGTAAACACTGCTCCATGATGACGGAGACAGATGGTTTTGTTAGCAGAGTATCGCTGTTCTTGTTAATGCTAGCTAAATATCATAAAAGTATACTGCTCCGTTCACTTCGAAGCATTTAATGTCACTTGTTATTTCTCCTTCTCCGCTGAGCAGGTCTGAAACCTTCAGAGATCCCTGATGTGAGGGTATGTGCCCTTGGACTACATCGTGGAAGCCAGCACCATGCAGTCCATGGGCATATACACTTGCCTCAAGGCTTGGCTCTTCGACCAACTCGGCCGTAATCAAAACCTTGCAGCGCCATAACAGATCAAACCATCACAGCTCAAGTCTTTCTAGAGATTTTTAGACAGTCTCATTGCGTCCATTCTCTCTTTTTTTTTTTTTTGCTTTTCCATCTATCTCTGCCTTATCTGTTCCTCCACCTCCATCTTTTATTCATCTCTCCAGGGTCACATTGGCATCCCTGGGCTCTTTGGCTTTCCCGGTCCTGATGGCGAGAGAGTGAGTATTAGCGGCCGCGAGAGCGAACTGCCTACTGGGTTGCATTAGGAGCGTCCATGGGTCAAAATGATGAAATAGAAATAGAATTCATTCTTCGAGTAATGCGACACTTGAGGCAAACTTCCACCGAATCGCTATTCTGAGCCTCAAGTGGTGCAAGTTCCCGTATATTGTGTTTGATGAAGCCCGAGCCCATAGCCGTCCAGGTGAATAATGAAGTGTAGAAGATGGATTTAAATTTATTTAAACCCAGCAAGGATTCAAATTTCCTTTAACTTCCAGGGAAGTGGATAAAAAAAAAAACTTATTATCAAGTATTCTAAGGTATGTTTTTTTGTTGTTGTCGTTTGTAGCCACATTAGCTCAAATGGCACCATGTGGCACTGTGGGCCATTTGGTGCTTTGAATAAAACAGTCAAATCAATCAATTTAGATCCTGAATCTGCAAAGATGAGTCTGAAATGGCCGATTTAACTGACTTAACGATCTTACCTCAAGATCTGTTTTGCATCTGTTCTTATATTTTGATTTTATTGCATCATGTCCATCTAAAGATTAAGTTCTTGAGCACTGAAAGCTTCAGATCAGTTGTTAAATTGGCTTTTAGATATGAATTTGTCAGCTACTAATGAATAACTGAGGAATGATTATTTACATTTTGTACCGTTTTTCTGTTCCCATTTCATCCAATACTGTTGTTTTTGGTTGTATCAAGAACATCTCACCATCAAGAAGCTTTGCACTTTTAAATCTGACCATCTAATAGCTTCTGACGTTCAAAAGGATGCACTTTTATCCCTCCTTTAGCTCCTTATCCATTTTCTCCTTCCCTGTTTCTCAAGTCTGTTTTCTTTCCTGCTTCTAGGGAATTCCTGGCGTTCATGGGAAGAAGGGCAAGATGGGTAGGCCGGTAAAGTTTTCTCTCAACATACTTCTCAGAAAAAAAAAATAAAAAATGTTGCTAATGTAGCCGTACGGCAGTGACAGTGTGTTTGTGATTTACGGGCTCTTATTGTAGTGCAGAGCTCCTATAAAATGACCATAACTCTGACAGAGACTTTAGTTCAGTGTGAAGCTCCTCATGGCCTTACTCGTAAATATGTGGAAATAAAAGTACCTCTCTGGCACTGTGATGCTACTGTAGGGACTGCCAGAGCGTAAAGGGAGTTATATGCGCCTGGATAATATATCTGGATGTTGTAGAAGCACACATGTTCATAGGTCAGCAGATTATACAAAAATTCAGTTTCCCTTTAAACGTCATAAATTACTGGAAGCATGTTGGAGTGAGTTCGTTAACCCTCTGAACCTCCGGCAGCTTCTGGTCGTTTTTTTTTGCAAATTTTGTCACCGCAATATAAAGTCTTGCACCTCTGTGGAAACAACACAACTTTGGTGAGAAGTAAGGAAAACTGAAAGCAAAGTTTTATGCAGTTTGACACAGTTTTAATGTGAACAATAGTAAAAAAAAAAAGAAAGAAAGAAAGAAAAAAAAAAAGCAAACTTGAATTTCTTTGATTATTTTCATTTATTTAACAAAAAAAATAAAATAAAAATAATGTAAAAGAATAAACACATACAACATTTTTCCTACAGATGTTACCAACACTGGGAAAAAATCGTATTTTCCATGTTATATGTATTTTACTTCTTGCGTTTTTACTTTATTCCCTTACTCGTCTCCTGTGCTTTGTGTAAACACTGCCTGCGGTTTAGCCTGGTTTCACCAAAAAGTCTCTGATTTTCTGTCATGGGACTGTTGGTCACGGCTGAGTCATTCATGGTCTCCAAATTGTGCTGAGGAGTGCAGAATTTTTTGCCTTTTACAGAATCTGGCTACTCCACATGTTTTAGTTTTGGTGAATTTTTAAAATGAAATATGTAGAATTAAGCGATTTTAATGAAATATTAAAATTTTATACCCCCAGTAGAAAGGCCGTGGAGGAGCTGGTGACCGTCTAAAAGCTGAAAACCATAAAGTTCTTTCTATTTTTACGCTGACAAATTGTTTAATTTTGGTGTTCTTTTTAAAAAACACAACACGCTTTTCACACCCACCAGTGGGTTTTCAGACTGAGGGTTAAAACTTGCTCTCTTTATCTATAAATTATGATCTTCAGTGATTAATTTTCCTTGGCTGAAGTTGATTAGGAAACTCTGCATGCGAGACAATGAGCTTATTACTCTGCTTGCTTTGCGTTAGATGGATACGATAATGCGATGTGTCAGTTGTGGGTTTGGCCCTCTGGAGCCTTTAGCCACAGACCAGGGAAGTCTACCGTCATCGGCGCCTGGAAGTAAATTTCCCATTCTTCCAGTCTTACATGGAAAATACTAATGCTGCACTTAACCGCTTGTATGAATCAGATATTTTCTCATGCTCAGTCGAGTTGTACATGATTTTTAAATATTATTACGCAGCAGTGGTCAGTGACATACACTGAGGTTCCAAAAAGCACGCTGGCACCGGCCAAGTCATGAGCAAGCCATTACTTTTCCTCTGTGGTGAAAAGTGAGGTCAGTTATGTTGTGTAAGAAGTTTTTTTTTTTTTGTCCTGACTCAGCGGTAAAACAGTGTAACAGAAGCAGACAAAAGAACCAGTTGGCATGTTTTATCCAATAGGAATACATGTGATCCGTGTGTTTAAAACAACCTGATGCTCAAAAAAGTTCATTCTAAATTGATTTGTTGCATTTTGCAGCTTCCTTCTTCCCTCTGTCAGCCGTATAGGAAAGTGCTAAAATAGCTTTCTATATGTATTTATCTTGTGGATTTCATATTTGGCAGAATGGCAGGACTTCCATTGGACGGATCCCATAATATAAAAAAAAAAACAAGGGTCTCGCCAACCTCAGTGAAAGTTGTTGTCAATATGAAAACAAAGACTTGCATGTGTTTCTGATCAAATGGAGACAGCTATTGGTATTTTTGGAAAGAGGCAAACTTTTCCACATATCCTGTTGGCTTCATGTTGCACCACTTACTGCTTATGCACTTCATCCACATTTGCCTAATGTTCTGAAGAAGCCACACAGCTATCTCAGCCATCTCTCGAGGTCATCGTAACATTTTAATTTGATCCTCTCCGTCTGCAGACACAAGATCTGCTGCTCCGCTGTCTATCATTTGCCCGCTCTATAGGCGAGTGCCGCGGAGCCATGATGTGCGGCGGGTTTGCATGTTGACCTTGGCTTACTGACAAGCACACGATGAGCGCGTGGCCTCGCGGCTGCATCACGCCTCTTGTTCTGCCTCTATAATGGAATTACGAGCACCAAGCAGAAAAAAATAAAAAAATAGGCACAGTCAGCAGTTCTTGGGCCAAGCAGCTTTATTCAGCCATTTAGGCAAAGTCCTGGGGGTTTGGTTCTCGGGCTGCTGAGCGCTCACTTCTAGCGCGTGCACACACAGACACTCGTCGCTTGGAAACACTCAGCCGTGGAATTTCCTGCCGGTCTCCCAGGAATGAAAGTGCTGGGAACACATTTGGTGGGATTTGCTTGGCTTTACTCTGCAAACTTCTGTTTTGGGGAAACACTTTGTTGATCCCCCTGTGTTTTGGTGCAATAACTTCACTGACAAAGCGTGTGTTACCTAAGTGCAGCCGGCATCGAAATGGGCATTTTGACAGTGTGATAAAGCCACTAAGCTCCAACAACCCCCTCCCCTCCTCTCCTCTCTGGTTACGTGACCATCCTGTTTGTTTGTGTGCTCAGGGGTTTCCTGGTGACTTTGGAGAGAGGGGACCTCCTGGCCCTGATGGGAACCCAGTAAGTGAAAGGATGCGGAACCCTGCACGACTTAATCATTATTTTCTCACAATGCAATTCCTCCTGTGTGTCCCTGAAGTCCAAAACATTGCTTCTGACAAAGATTTCACCAGATGTGGACAGATAAGAATAATACACTCTGAAAAATTATTCCAGAGAGCTATTCCCGAGATGAAAAACTGATTTAGAATAACGTTTTAAGTTTCAGACTTTATTTTGATGGATGGGGTTAACATAAAAATGCTAGCAATTGCATCAACTTACTAATGTGCGTCATATTAACCTAAATTTCTGCGTTAGTTGATTGAAAACTAAATTCAAATTGCGGTAACTTAATGAAATTGGCTTGACAACTTCATTTTGCTTCACCTTGAGTTCAAGATTTCATGTCTCCACCTCTTTCTTAACATGCCCGGACAGTTTCATCCAGTCAAGACTAAAAAGATTGTAGACTAAAAGGTGATTCTCCGAACTCAATATCGTTTTTTGCTTGAACATAATTTAATCCGAAAAAGTCACAAGTCAAAGAGACTGATGCATTTTCAGGTTGTTGTGTTATTTTGTTGTGTTGAGTGTTCTAAAATGTCTTTTTTTTTTAAATCACATATGCTCTAAAAATGCAGTACAAAGAGCTTTACAAGTAATTATTGCATTTTTTAGGCACTTAACACAAATGCTGCCGTGTTATTTGAAGTTTTAAAGTCCAGATAAACCAGTTTCTGAAAAATGCGGAGTAACAGAGACACAGCTTGCTCATCTCTTGTTTTATAGCAGGCACATTTTATCCTTACACCAGACTGACTGCGAGCCAAAGACTCACAGTTATTCGCTCACTCACTCACCCGTCATAATCCATACTGATATGAAGGGCCGCGTCAGCAGTTTCGCTCGCCGCTCCTCTTTCTTCAGCTTGACCCTCGCCGCTCGTGATTGACAGGGTCAGCGTTAGATTGTGATTGGCTGACCTCCGAGAGTCTCCTCCAGGCTTCATTTCCTCTCCTCTCCAGAGGGAAGAGGGGATGTTCCATTTGGCTGCGTTCATCTCCTTTCATTCGCGAGGGGGGGGAATGGAAAGGGAGGCGACAGGAAGGCCACACTGGGCTGGTGTGTCAGCCGTCTCTCCATTTGATGCCGAGCTCGGAGAGGATGTGGGCATGGCATGTGGCAGCGGGGCACATCATTAGGACAACAAGCTACTCTGTGTGTCAAGTGCCAAGTCGCTCAGTCGCTATGCTAAATCTAATGGAGGAAAAAAAAACATCAGTCGCTGGAGGAAAACACTAATCAAACAAAATATAGAAACATACTGTTTGCTTTCATATGAGTCCTACCCCTGGAGCCCTGCTCTGTGTTGTATCTCTTCTTTATCTCTCGCTCTTTCTTCCCTCTCTCGCTCCCTCTTAGGGTGAACTGGGAGCTCCTGGTCCATGTGGAGTAACTGGTCTCATTGTGAGTGTTGTTTTATCCTTTTAACCGATTATACATTTATATACTGTGGTTGTCTCTCTAAGTGTCTTTATGTCTTTTCTTCCTTCAGGAAAGTAGCTTAAAACTCCTGTACTTCAGAGAGTGCATGTTTGTTTGATGTGTTATGAGTGCCGGCCATGGATTTAAACTGCTGACCAAAATGTGTTCTAAAGACTTGAAACTGTCAAATACCCAAAGCTCAATAAATAATCTGTTTTGACTTTTAACATTTGGAAGATGTGGCTTCTGTTCCACACATCCATCAATTAGCTATACATACTTTACCCTGTGGAGGATTGTGGGGGGCCTATACAGGTTGCCAGTCAATCGCAGGTTTGATCCCACAACCTTCTTGCTGTGAGGCGATAGCGCCAACCACTGCGACACCATACCGCCTGTGTGGCTTCTTCTATTTCTGGAAAATACTCAACCGTAGTCAATAGCAGTAGCAACTGTGAAATACGCCATCCACCCACAACATTAAAACCATTGGAGCAGCGATTGGATCATGGTGCCCAAAGCTTATTAATATGGTTGAAGGCTGAAGAAGAGCTGCTGTAGCTGGCTATTGTTGGCTTGAATAGAAAGGTGTCAGAACACACAGTGCATGACAGATTACTGCGTAGTATATAGATAAAGCCTCCTGTCCACCTCTGAAAGCACCAACAATGGGCACATGAGCATCAGAACTGGATCATGGAACAACGGGGGAAGATGGTCTGATGAATTTTTTTTGTTACATTATGCGGATGGCTGGATGTCTGGGTTGTTTGCATGAGGAAGAGATGGCTGCAGGATGTAATATGGGAAGCGGGCCCGCTGACTGTAGCAGTGTATTCCTCTGGGTAATGTTCTGCTGGGAAACCTTGAGCTCTGTAACCGCGTGGATGTTAGTTTGACACGTACCACTGACCTAAACATAGCTGTGAACCACGTCCACCTCTTCTTTCAGCAGGATAATACTGCCTGCCGCGCTGCAAACACTGTTCAGGAAGGGTTTGAGGAACACAACGAAGTTTAAGGTGTTGAGTCAGCTTCAATCTGACCGTGCACACTCACCATGTTCTCCAAAATCAAACCTGTATGTTTGGAGATCTTGTGCAGTCCATGTCCTGGCACATCAGAGTTCTTTAGGCAGCATAAGTGGGACCTACAAAATATCAGACAGAGTTAGTTTTAATGTGATTGATTAGTGTATGAGTATGTGTTTTCTTTGTGTTGTTGTTTGCAGGGAGACATGGGCCCTGTTGGCATTATGGGCTTATCAGGACCACCAGGACTCAAGGTAAATGACTCCGTTTTCTAGTGATGTTTCTGTCTTGTTTTTTGAGATTAATTCAATATAAACAGGCCACATTTTGGCAGCTTAGTAATTGGTCTTAATCAAAATGTCCTCAAGTAGTGCTTAAATTCACTCTGACAAGACACATGGTCGGTGTTGGGATTAATTACTACAGAGTATATAAACCCGAGCAAACAGCAACAACACCGGGACTACTCATTAATCATGTTTAATCATTTATCTTGTTTTGTATTTCGCCTCAAAGGGAGTTCCTGGAAACGCAGGGGAACCAGGACTGAAAGGTGATAAGGTGATCTGCACATGTCTTTCTCAAACTACTTACCACCTTATATAGAATCCTAAAAGTTAAAAAAAAAAATCACTAAATTGTGTCTCTGATATCTGAGAAAGGTAGAAAATAACACAAAGGTATAATCCAAGGCTTGTTGTACTCAGCACTTCTGGTACAAGAGTTTATGGCTGAATATATTTGTTTTTTTATATATATATTAACATTCAGGCTCATTTTTCTGTGTTTTCTCAGGGGGATGTTGGCATACCAGGAGAGCCGGGGGAGTGTGGCTACCAAGGGGACAAGGTAGGTGATACAGTGACTCATCCATAAATAATAACATTTGTGGTTTGATACCTGGCCTCTCGCATCTGCAACCATTTGCATCGATGTCTCTTTAGCAAGCCACTAAACTCCAGATTGCTTCCATTTGTCCTTGTTTGTCATCTCCCCCACTATCAGTGCGTTTCATGTGCATTGAGACCTATTATACCGCTCTCCGAAAGTGCTTTTGAAGTGCAGTCCTTTTACCGTTTCCATGTACCAAGTTTTAGGCACTAGGAGTAATGGGAAAATGCCTCCCTGATGGTGTTGCATGATGGATAAAAAAGTGAAAGTGCCGAAGCCTTTAGTGCAACACTGTATGTGATTTTTTGTGTTTTTATATTTAATGTAGTAGTTTGTGTTTGTTTGTTTACACTGAGCTGGCTTTTGTGTTACAGGGCAACCGTGGCTCACCTGGGTTGACGGGTCCTTGTGGAAATACTGGACCACAGGTATGTTCTTTCCCACATTCGAACCCTGAGGAAAACTAATCTTTCAGTTATGTTGATTTTCAAAATATTGTGACTACCAGCAGTATCGCGATCAAGATTTTTTCCAATCCGAGTCACTCAATGTTTAGTTTGTCCTGATACCATTTACTAGATAACATAGAATTGAAGTATTGTAGATTAGCTGTAGTACCTGTTTGTGCCATCAGGTGGCGCCTCTCTTTGTTTAATACTGTCGTGACCAGAGGAGGTGGGCAGGTCTGTGCTGGCAAGCAGTCATTATTGTGGGGATTTAGCTAGTAAAGGGACACCTTGACAAAGTTTCCTGCGAGGCTTGATGACTCCCGGCCAGCATGGATGTATTACGTCAAGTTGGGACCCAATATTAAATCAAATCAAATCAAGTTTATTGTCGTTTTGCTGGACACACACAATCGTACAAGCAAGGTGAAAGAGCGTTTCTTCAGGATCCAATAACTTGAAGCAATTTAAATGAAAAAGTGTTTGCATATCCGGATCAGCAGTTCAGCATTCTGACAGCTTGTGGAATGAAGCTGTTGATCATTCTGGAGGTTCTTCCTTTAACGCTCCGGAAACGTTTGCCTGATGGTAACAGTTTATGGAGAGGGTGTGAGGAGTCCCTGACAATGTTCAGTGCCCTGCTCCTGCAGCGGCTCTGGAAAAGTTCTTGGACAGAGGTGAGGGAAACTCCGATGACCCTCTCAGCTCCTCTAACTATCCTCTGCAGGGCTTTTCTGTCTGACATACTGCAGCTGGAGGACCATGCTGAGATGCAGGATGTCAATATATCATTTTTCTGTTATTATATTGACATGTGTAGCTGCTGCCTTTGTGACATCGTGTGCTGAGTTTGCAAGATAACTAAATCAAATGTTGATTAGTATTGATGGACATGCTCAGTAAAATATACAGATTTGCAACACATCTGTGACAGCAGACATAAACAAAGAATCAGGCTTCGGTTGTTGCTGACAGTGATCGGTTAAATTTTTTCCCGATCAGCACCAATCAAACCTGACTAGCCTGTAGAGTTTCTGGCATGAAAATCCCATGCTATAACTACATACAGAAAATATATGTATATATATATTGTTTTAAATCCAATGTCTTTTCAAGCTTAGCTACTTTGATGCTTGTACAGTTTAGCTGCTTCTCTAAATTCACTTGTAAACTTGCAGTGTCTGCCTTTTTAACTTCAGGTAAGAATTTTGTTTTGAAGCATAGCGGTGTGCTCACAGGGTCCAATAGGCCTTAAGATGCACTCAAAATAAAATGTTAGTGCTCTTGAAGAAAAATGGGTAGAAATCTTCACAAACATGTACAAAAGCACACTTCAGGCACTCATGCATGTACGAGAATTTTGGTCTCATTAGGAACAAACAACCACTCAAAGACCAGGGCATAGCATGAAGAGCTGGCACTCGTGTGATCCAAAGTGTCCTTAATGTCTTCAGTACGCTCTGATCTGATTTGAGATTGTTGCGTGGCGTCTCCTGCTTGTTTGAGCTGCGATTTCAGCAACCTGGAGCACTGATGGGAGCCATTCTGAGGAACTAAGCTCGTTTTATTTACTGGAATCTTACCTGAGCTCCGTTTGTTTGAGGGATTTCTTGCGGAGCTCTGACAGAAATTACATTTCCATTAACTTGCATTAACAGAACTTTCACTTGCATTAGAAAGTTGCATTTTTTACATTTTTCAAGTTACTTCAGGTTGTCTCAGTAACACATCACATGATGCTGCTTGCATTAACTATTTGTGCCAAAATAAAGATTGTGGGTTTGCTTGTTTGGACATTTCTCATCTGTGTGATAATGTTTATGTCATTTCTCAGGGCAAACCTGGTGAAAAGGGCCCTGATGGTTTACCTGGTCCTCCTGGCCCAGAGGTAGGACTGGATTATCTGCACAAACAGTGCATTTTGATTCAATTGTACCTTATTCCATCATGGTATTTGTCATTAAAATGCTACTGTGTGGGAATAAAGTCATGTTCTGTCATTTTCCCAGGGCTTTCCAGGTGACATCGGTCCACCAGGACAAAATGGACCTGAAGGACCCAAGGTGAGTAGAGTAACAGTAACTCATTTTTGTTCAGGTAAATGAACTGAAACCTCACCTTTAGTGTCTGATCCATAGGGAAAGCAAGGGACAAGAGGTTTGCCAGGTCCAAGAGGAGCACTCGGCCTTCAGGTGGGATCAGATTGATATATTTATAAGTGTTTTAAAGATAGAAGAAATGTTTCTTCTGTTTACTTTTAGTGACTTTTTTTACTTTTTGGTCAGGGTGATGAGGGACCAGTTGGGCCAGCTGGACCCGCTGGACTCGAGGTGAGTGCTGATTGGATAAAAACCAGTTAGAAGATACAACAGCACAGTTTATCTTTTAGGGATCCACACGCAAACACCACAATTCTCACTAAGCAAAAGTTCACCATGTGTTTCTGCCTAATTGTAGCTTTTGGAGGAATAACTATGACCACTTATGGATAGCGGGTCTTTGGCTGACTGACCTCTCTATTGTTCTGAAGCTGTTTTGAAAGACTTCCTATTGGACACGGTGTCCTCGTATTACCAGATTGGTCAGCAAATTGCTATGCTCTTTTCTATCCTAAAAAACACACACAGTCACAAACAAAGGCTCTTCTTCATGTGTCGAGTTGTTTGTCAAATCTAATTGTATTTCATGCACATTTTTCAGTTGAATGCACCAGAAATGAGATATTTTATTCTAAGATCTGATAATAATTCATTACATCTGTATTTTATTTAAGAGGTCAAATGTGCAGGCGAATTTACAGAATCGTGAAATGTATTGAATCAAGTTCCCTTTGTTGTTTGTTTTTCAAATATCTTCACCATATGTAGATTTCTATTCTTTTACATCAGCGTCTGAACATAGAATATAGGGGATAGTGGCATGCAAGCCAAACTTATGACTTTATAAGAGACAAATAAAGTGGCTTTGAACTCTTTTGCAGCATAAATAAAAGTCCTCAGTGACTGCGTCTGTCCAAAAACAAAACCAAAAAAAAAAAAGTGTTTGGAGTCATTCCAGGCTAAACAATAGGGAAGAGTCTTCCAATGAAACTCTCTATTTTTGCAGTGGTTGACTTCAGTCTGCCATCTCCCAAACGTGTAGCCCACAAGTGATTACTGAAAATGAACACAAATGACCCAAAGACTTTTGTGAGTAATACGAAGTCTTTGATGCCCGTAACAGCTCTCTGTTTTCTGGATCATTAAGTTACTCAAAGGGATCTTTTTTTTGTGTGTGTGTGTTGTTGTTCTGGCATCAGTTGTCGGTTTGTTTTGTGCCACAGCCTCTTGAGGGACGGCAGGCTGAACGCGCCGCACCTCTTATAGAAGATACCGAGTTTATTGTTCGCCGCGTGTGGAGCTTCAGTACACTTCTGTCTGTCATTTTTGCTTTCTGTTCAGGGCAGGCCTGGGAGGCAGGGATTCCCTGGACTGACAGGCCCAGATGGACTCAAGGTCAGACCTAATTGTCACACTTTTACTGCCGAAACCGGTGTCATCCTTAACTGAACATTGTCTCCCTGGTTCTCTTTTATGATAATATATCATCTGAATATGTGTAAATTAGATGTTAATTCCCAGCTACCACAGGGGAACTGGCCTCTAAGCACATTTCAGCTGAATTGAACTAAAAAAAAAAAAAAAAAAAGAAAGAAAAAGAAAGGCATGAATAAGTTTGTGATATGCTAATTGGCTGCTTTGCTGTAGGGCGAGACCGGGATAACTGGCGAGGTCGGAAAGCTTGGCGAGAGGGTAAAGGCTTTTCTCCCTCTTTCTGCTGGTTTCCGTTTGATGCTCTCTGTGTGTCTGTTTTGTCAGCGCCCCGGCGCTCGGCAGCCTATTACGAGAAATTTAAGTTCATAAAACTGAGAGAAACAAGAGACAGCGAAGACAGCATGTTCTCTCTCCTTCAGGGACTGCCTGGTTTCATCGGGCCTGCTGGAGAGATGGGCATCGCTGGAGAAAAGGTTGGCACGATCGTAATTTGTCTCATTATTACAATTTGTTGTTCCATTTCAGTCTCTGGTGATGTGTATATTTTCTTGATGTGGCCCACGAGTAGTGCTGAAAGTATTACGCCAATAATCAATTAGTCAGTGGACAGAAAATGTATTTGAGAAATTTTTCAGAAAATATCAAGCATCAGTTGGTCGCAGCTTCTCAAATGTACAGATTTGCTGTTTTTATCTGTATCATTCAATTGTAAACTAATTATTTTTGAGTTTTGAACCACTGATGAGATTAAACCAGTATTTTAATTAAACTAAATTCAGTTCAAATTACTTTTTTCATCCTCCAGGGGCAATTCACAAACACACTGAGTAGTTCAATTTAAAAGAGTAGGTCTCCGTCAAGCTGTGATTGGCTACTAGTTGTAATTTTAGTCATAATAATGACATTATCTGCTGCCCTACTTGTGCTTCACTGACTGTGACTTGTGCTTTCTCAGGGGGATCGAGGGAAAACAGGCGTCCCCGGACCGCCAGGTGAACCAGGGCCGATGGTAAGGAGTAAGTCTGGACCCCATCTCTCGTACCAGGGGGGCGTTCAATTCTACATATGTAGGGGATGGGGGTGTGATATGATCAGAGGAACAGATCTAAATGAATATGCAGGAACCATGCAATAGGCAGATAATACATCCAGGCATCCAGTTTTGGCAGAAATCTGAGCGCTAATTTATGGTTTGGTCGATGAATCATATAATTTCTGTTGAATCCTTCAGGGTCACACAGGAATACCTGGAGAGATGGGGCTACCTGGACCGCAAGGGATCCCAGTAAGTTCACCATTATTGTAGCTTTGTGTGCACTCAGGGTAAAGCAGAGAGTATACTGGCCTGTCATGTAGACTACATAACCAAACTTTATAACCCTTTGAACCCCAAAAGGCATGTTATCTTTAAAGAAATAGCGAAAGTGACACCATTTGAAAGAGCCACAAACTGTAAGAACCAAAAGATTTGTCAGGTTGCCAACTTTCCAATGGTCCTTGAACCACTCATCTGTGCAAACCGTTCATTTGGAAAACAGAGCAGTCACGTCTAAACTTACAATCATGATATTTCATCAAAATCACTTTGTCTCATTTAATAATGAACAGCTACAAACCAGGCTCTATAAATGTTGAAATAGTGAAGCCATGACCGACAAAACATTTGGGTGCTTTTCGGTTGAACTGCAGGCTGTGTTCGGAAAGAAATCGAAAATGAATGTAGTAAAACATCTCTGACACGTGGGTACTTGGACAAATGTTGTAAATGTCGATTACAGTTTTTTCTTTTTTTTGTAAAATGTATAATCTAAGCAATTTAGCTTTTACTTCTCAACTTTTTTTCCCCCTTTTTTTATGATTTATGGCATTATAACTAAATTATACTGCACATTTTTTTGAGTTCTCTCTACTTTTAGTCATGGTTGTGCTGTTTCCATTGAGTTGCAGGACTTTATATTGCACTGAAAAACGAGCCCACAGCGAGTAAAAGTGTCTCAGAAGTAAAAAGAAAAAAAAAAAGCACTGCTTGGGGTTCAGAGGGTTAATACCAGGCTGTAAAAGAGTGTTTTACAGCTGTCACCCACCAAAAGTCAGAAGTTTGTTGGACTCCTGAGCGCACTCAATTACACTGATGCTGTCTTGCACTTGTCTAACCTCTATAAAGGTACTAAAAAAGCAGCCTTTGGTAGTTGACATTGTACTAAACAACTGAAGTGCAGAGTTCTGGTAAAATAGGTTGATGGAAAAAGTCAGTATTGTCATCTGTGTTAGCTGTGTAGCTCTTTTTTTATCCTTTGCATCTTAGCTTCTATAGATCGGTAAAATCAAACTCAAAGATTATTTTTTCACACACATGCAGGGGCCTCCTGGTTCACGGGGATCTATCGGCATCAGAGGACCCAAAGGCAGGAGGGTAAGGAACTGAAACCTGTGTTAAAGATTACCATTAGGTGACGTGTGACTACTACCTGTTGACAAATAACCCTGTTCATGCAATTAGCAATTAGCATGTCAAATGAATTACATTGACATTTAGTGCAGATATTCAGGGCCCCCAGAAAATGTTAATCTGTCCAGTACCTTTCAAATAACCTGCCAGACTAAAGACATTCCACCTCGTAAACATCGGCCACAGTGGCCTGTTGAAAATCTAACCCACGCCTCTTGCTACAGATTCACACAGCTGCCTGCAGACTGTTTAACGTCTTCTTCTGTATTTGCTGGTGGGTGTTAAGCACGACAGGAAATCATGTGTTTTACATTCCTGGCAGCAACACTTCATTCGAAAGAAACAGAAGAAGAACTCAGTATCATTCCAGTTGCTGACATAAGCTGGTCATCGTCACTGAACAGACCATAAATGTTTATTTGATCAAATCCAACTGTCCATCTCTTTAAAAGCTTCAGGCAAAACCACAAGGCCAAGGATCTGTTATTAACCCGCCATAAAACATAATGTGAAACATAACGTACTGTACATGCAGATGCAACAAGTTGCAGCAGCTTGTCCCAACATCTTGCTGCATCCAGTAAAACACCCTCGAGTTTCAGTACATGAAAACATATTTGCATCGCCATGTCTGACACGGATACTCAGTATAACTCCGGTGTTCACTGGCTTTTCCATAATTGAGTTTTCTACTTTGGGATAATAGCCTTTGGTCGTAGAGCCGGATCATTGGACTGAATGAATAATTGATATAACATGAGTAGGTGGGATAATTAAGGTGTTTCATTCTCTGTATTGGTTTTACAAGGCTTCCCTCGTACCACACACTCTCACAAGTGTAATATTTAAAAGCTGCAATTGCTAAAAATCAAGACTTTGGCAAATAGAATTAAGACGAGTGCTATTAAACACCGGTCTACTTAATTCCTAATCAACTCGGATGGAGAAAAACAGTAATAACCTTTTCCCTCGTCCAGGATTTTGTGTAGAAAATGGTACCATTACGTTAAAAAGAGAAGAAAATGGCTCTATTGTTAGGGATGCACTCGTCGTCCAAAAGAATAAAGCTGCTCACAGACCGCGCAAAGGAAAAAGGGATGTCATAATCCTAGCCGCATCTACCAACACTAGTGAATTTCCACTATTCTCCATACTAAATTCTATCAGAAACATAATAACATGTGAAATACAATATTTTGACAGAGTAAACAGTAATGAATAATAGTAGCCCACTACTATCATGACCAGCACCCAGCTCACGTTTTGAGCATAGACTGTATAAAAGATGGACGTAGCAACCGGCCCTGAAAAATGAAGCCAACCCAGAAGTGTCAAAAACCTGCAATATCACTACGTCCACTAGTCCTGGCTCCAAAAAGCCCTGGCTCCCATAGAAAGGAATTGGAAAAGAAGTGATCACAGATCATGAAATACTGCATTCCTCCAGCTCAGGATTTTTTTAAAATTAGTTTTCATGGTCAAGTCCAGAGATCAGGTGGCCAATCTGAAAATAAATCAATACTGAATTTTTAAAAAATCGTCAACATTTTGCGGGGCAAGGGGCGTGGATGGCTTGATTGACAGTCGGCAGCGACCATACAGATGAAGCCAGCAGAAGGCGGTAAATGTGGGCGGGCAGAGAGGGCCCGCCTCTCAATCCGTCTGACCAATCGCTGCTCCTATGGCTCCGCCCCCCTCCGACGATTTTTGCGTCACTGGCTCCAAAAATCCAAGATGTCAAACAGGAAGTAGCAAAACCCTGGCTTCATTTTCTCAGTGCAGAAACCAACGGGTGACGTCACGGAAGCTACGTCCATCTTTTATACAGTCTGTGGTTTTGAGTCATCACGATTAGCCTGAACAAGATCGTGTTAGCCCTTTGTGAAAGTTAAAATAATATTAATTTCAAGAAATGAACACTTCAATGACATCCTGTTAGTATAAAATCGAAGCAGCAGACATTCGCTCACCTTGAATTCATTGTGCAGATCCAGACGTCTGTTTCTTAGATACGTTTGAGGTGTTTCTGCTTTCATTCCAAATGAAATACTGGCTTTACATTCTGGGTTTTTAACTTGTCGGGGATCTTCGTACGTGACTCTTGGTGTTGTATCAGAGTTGTTGCACCATCCATGGTCATCCATTCTACATATTGTTGTTATTGTCCAGTACTGTCGATTGCTACAGCATCAAGCAACAAGTACCATCCACAAAGCTCGGTGTGGCAGTTTTGGTCGTTGCCATCTCGGCGCTAACTGACTCCTCCTAACTCGCAGCTAATGTGAAAAATGAGCAAAGAGGTGACGTGTGAGTGGTGCTGAGGCCTGCCATGCAAACATCTCTGGGTCGTGGACAGTCCTGTGACAGCTTCCACCGGTCACTCAAAGCAGCTACGGCCTTAATTATGCATAACTTTAAGCCTTTCTACAGTTCAAATCGGTAGATGATATAAAAATGCATTCCCAGACAGTTGTCATTAACAGGGTAATTAGCTATAGAGACCAAAACAGTTTCTGCACCAGGCTGTAAACATGCTGCTGACTGCTGTGAAGTTTTAACATGGGAGTCAGTGGGGATTAACTCGCTTTTGGATCCAGCCTCAAGTGGACATTTTAAGAACTGCAGTTTCTGACAGTTGAGGCACTAATGGCATCCCGAGGAGAAAAAACCCACACTCCTTGTTTACTTTTTATTTGTAATCATGTCTTGTTAAGTTGTGAGATGTTACTTGGAGAGCGTGTCAGTCACACATCATCACCATATCGCTGTGTCATTCCATTTTCTTTAAAAGCTGAACCTCATGTGGTCTCACCCAACCCGGCTCTTGTCAATTTAAGCGTTTCCGTTATTTACAAGCAAGTCATTACCGTCATTTTCTCTCAGGTGTCTCCACTGAGCTATTTGATAAAAATCCCTGAATATTGGTGCACTTTTGAAGAAAGAAAGCGAAAGTGGGTGAGCTTCAAGCTGACGAGCCTTTTCGAGCTGAAAGGGTCTGAAAACCTGATTACAGAGGGAATGGTGGAAGGTAAATGTCTACAGTGTAAAACATTCAATCTTAATCATTCCTATAGACAACCTTGGAAAAAAACAAAAACACAACATCTGATGAAAATGCAGAATTTCTCATGCAGTTCCACCTATAACCATCCATCCATCCATCCATCCATCCATCCATCTATTATCTATACACCACTTAATCCTCACTAGGGTCGTGGGGGGCTGGAGTCTATCCCAGCTGACTTAGGGTGAAGGCAGAGGACACCCTGGACAGGTCACCAGTCTATCACAGGGCCCTATAACCATTTCCTTTTAGAATTTTTTTGGCTTTAACTTGAAAAGAACTCAAGAAAGTGTGACTTTATTGAGGAAAACGAGTAGAACCGTCCTCTCTGCTGTGCAAATATTACTCAGTATTGGACAAAGTAGGCCATTAAATAAACTGGGATGACTTTTTAAGTGGATTTCTCAATCTCAATTTAATTTTTGATGTCTCCACATAACAACCCAAGTTATTGAGAAATGGACAGCTTGTGCAAATGACTCAGTAAAGTCAGATTTATTTATTTAATGATTCCAAATACTTTTTTTTTTTTATTATTTGGATGGTCAAAAAAGCCTATTAAACTGGATTCATGTTCAGCCATATTTCAAAACGCTGGTATAACTGCCATCAGTTATACACAGCTACAATCATGAGCACTGTTTTGAATGAGTTTGTCTGTTATTACCAAGGAATAATGGAAATGTGAAGGCTTTGTGGAGGTAGGAGCTGCTTCACTTTTCCGCAAGATGTTCCCATGAACAACCAGCAAAAAGGCACAGTTATTCCATCTCTGACAGTGAAGCATTCGGTTCAATTATCAAAGGAAAGGATGAATCAGCTACAGGATTTGTGACCTTTTCCCAAATCTTCTTTACAATAACCCCAGTGTGCCGGCAGAACCACTGTGTGTGATCGTGGAAAAAAAAAAAAAAAAAAACAGGGACAAAGCCTACACAGTGTGGATTGGGCGCGCTGTGGAGCTAATTCACAGATGCCAAGTATTTGCTAAATAGCCCACAATCTTTGATGATGTGTCTCCAGTGCGGCCTAAACCATAGCACACAATAAAAGCGAGAGCGCTGCCTCCCAGGCCCCACTAAATAACGATGACAAAAATGGAGATTAAGTACCCCAAATCATTGACTTAATATGCAGAACAACATGCACCTCAGCTTTGCTAAAGGCCAAGCTTTCCAAAGCTATTCATCAACGACAACTTTTATTTCTTTTTTGCAGGGTCCGAGGGGTCCGGATGGCCCGGTGGGGGAGAAAGGGTCGGTGGGAGTAAAGGTGAGCACATGGACGTAAAAGTTAAAGGTGACACTGGTTAATGGAACACATTCACAGCTTCGTGTTTGGTTCAAGTTTGTGGCTAATTGTTGATAATAATGTTTTACAGCTGCCTCAGAGCAATGTTTGGCCTTAACTTTCCTAATTGCACACATCAAATGTGTCCCATAGAAACCAAAGATAAACAAAATGGCCTGAAATTTCGGCAACACATCATGAGTTTTATTTATTTATTTATTTATTTTACAAGCTACTTTGTTCCGCAGACTTTAATTATTAACTATTTTTAACATCTAAAGAACCTTTAGAGGACACGCTTGTTAACTGCAAATTTAACAACAGAATCCTAAATCAAAGAGTCCTGAAATATTGATGGTGCTGGTAGCTGGTTGGCAGTCAGAAACACTGTGAGTCTGCAGGGATTTCAGGAAGCTCAGCTAACTGATGTTTTCTCTTCTCAGGGCCCTGATGGTCCACCAGGAAAATTGGGCCTCCCTGGGGAGATGGTGAGGAAACTGTTGTTTTTTGTTTTTGTTTTTTTTGTGCTTTTCTCATTTTTGGGGGGTTTATTTTTAGCAAACACACCAACCTGTGTTACATTTCCACATTTGGAAAGTTTTCAAGGTTGCAGAGCTTTATTCTACATATATTATGTGATCATTAATTCATTTCTCCATCTTGTACAGCTACGTATTTGACACTAACCCAATTGTGATTTTGCCCTTTTTTTGATGTCGTCTTACAGAAATACTTATTGCTTGTCAGATTACAGTTTGGTGCATCCTTAGTGTCCATCCAATGGACTTGTACAGATATTTAATCGGTGATACAAAAAAAAAATATAGCAGTTGATCATTATTGCATGACTTTGGTCGTAAAATAATCAAGCATTGTCCATTAATCCATTGAATTCAAAACTTGTTTTCTGGGTGTTTTTGCACCTCTATGGAAACAACCATGGCTAGAAGGAGACTCAGAAGGTCGTCTCTGCAGTATGACACAGTTAAAATGCCAACAATTTAAAAATAAAATAAAATTTTAAAAAAAGAGAGACAATTTTTTATAAATATTCATTATACAAAATACCAAAAAATGAAATCAGAAACATTTTTACCAATTGTGTTCTATATTTTAGTATTCACATTTTTAATTTGTTCCCATACTTGTCTCCTGTCTGATCTGTGTGAACACTGCCTGCACTTCAGCTGAAAGGTCACATGACTATTAGTTAAAGCTGAGTCACTACTGGCTTCTCATTTGTGTAGAGGAGCACTGTTTTCCTTTTACTTTAAACAGAATCTATTTAGTGTAAATAGTTTATGTTTGCTGATCTAAAAAAAAAGAGAGAGACATGTAGAATAAACTGATTTGGATTAAAAATATCTCGATTTTAGAGTTAGATTTGGATATTTCCCCAATAGTACAGGACACTACAGATGAGCAGCTCAAAGTAGCTGATAGTCAGACATCTCACAATTGTATCTGTTTTGTTTCCATGATAAATGGTATAGTTTTGGTGATTTAAAAGAAATAATGACATGCTTCCTTGGGGGGGTTGAGGATTAAAAGTATTCACCCTACATTAATCTCACTTAAGTGAAATTGGTATTATCAGCAAAATTAGTTCAAACTCTCAAAGGTAGAAGCACTTGTTATGCAATCAATGCAACCATTTCACATTTAGTATCTTTGGGATGTCGAGTGTTTCTGGACAAAAAAAGCGATCTAAAAATTGCATAGTAACAACTTGTGGATGTCATTTTTCACAGTCTGTCAGATTCATTCACAACCCTATTTTTAAAAAGTCAGTCATTTTATAACATGAAACTTGACTGGATTATTTTGTAAAAACCTAAATAAGGACACAAGAAAGTGAACAGATCTCTAGTCCTACATTTACTATACCTGCTTAACTGCTTTAAATTTGACACGAGGAAGCAGCGCTACACAGATCTAACTGACCGTTCACATCTTAGAGCTTTTTCTCCATGTTTGTTTCATTTTTGCTGCAGGGGAAGCTCGGTGAGCCGGGTGAAGCTGGGCCTCAGGGATTTCCAGTAAGTGATTGGGGCTAACAGAGTTCTCTTTTAGGTCAGTTTTGATTTTGGGGTGGACACACTTTGGGGAACGGTCGTGGATAAGTCCGGCTTGTGTGGTGTACTGTTTCTCTTGTGGGGGGGTTGTAGCATTTCTACGTTTGTATGAATACCAGTAGTGTGTGTTACAAATGGCCGTGTTATTTTTTTAGGGTGTTCAGGGGCCCTCAGGACCGCCAGGAGCCAAAGGATTCGCTGGAGAGCCAGTGAGTTCATTATTTACCTACATGAACGTTAAAGCTGGGGTAGGCAGTGGGGTTTTTTTGTTGTAATTGGGCAAAAGTTTGACATTTTGTAGTTTAAGTGGCCTGAGAGGAAGGTAGATTTCAGCACCTCTTCTTGGCTCCGTTTTCCTGCCCATGATGGGAGATTGTTGAAAAAATTTTTCCAGATTTCTCACCACTGCAGGTTTAAGTATTTTAGTTCCCAACCTGAGAATTAGCTTCTGCATCACGTGTTCTCTCGGGTCATGAATACGAAATTTTGAAAGGTGGAGAATTTCTCAAGAAGAATTAAGGCTCAAACCATCGTAGCAGGGTTTGCACGACATATTGTTATGCATATTTTGAAATGTTGCATGAAAGAAAGTTAATGGAAATGCAATATCTGGGGGAGAAAAATTTTTTTTCTCAATTTCACTTTTTTGTTTTTCTTTTTCTTAATTAATTGAGGTTGGTAGAGTTAATAGTGGAAGATGGATTATAAATGACCTCTGATGTTTTCCTATTTAACTTACATCAGATGTTTCTGCTTCTTTTGTTGTTTTCGCCTCCGAACAACGTGAAATGTATTAAACTCGAGCTGACGTGAACAGAATCATTAGAATTTTCGCAGTTAAAAAAGTTCCTGAATACAAAATTTTGTTTCTTCTTCTTCCTCATTTTTGGTAATTGACAAACCAATGTGCTGCGTTCCAGTATCTATGTTTCTGTACTATATAGAATGCCAAAAAAAGATTTTGTATGTCTCAATACATAGTATATCAAATGCAGCATGTCAAAAACACCAACATGTCCTTCTACATCCAGTCTAATTTTGCAGTATGCTTTTCTGGTGACAGCTTATTTTGCACTACAAACTGCAAGTTTTTGGCTCAACATTATGATGAAGTAATTTGTCCCAGTTGTGTGCAAACTGCAAACAGTGTGTACTTTGTAAAGGTAGCTGCAGTACATATTTAAAGTAAAAAGAAAAACTACGCCATTGGGAACGCAGCCATAGTTTTGTTTGGGGCTTCTTCTACTCTCTCCAGAGCAGTTAATAGAAACCAGCCTAATTCACATTTTCTTTTTGTATTTTTTACATTTCAAAAGTTTGCTTCAGATTTGGTGGAGAATTCTGTGGAAACACGTCCAGTGTCTCATTATCTACACTGACCCGTGGCTCTCCAGCACCTGCTGTGCACCTTTCTTCTCATCGTTGCATACACAGATTGACTTTCCATCCTGACTCCTTTTACTCAGTTCTTCCTGGAAACCCATGTCCTGATTGAAAAGCCCTGGACAACCTAATCCTGCCTCTCCAATTCTGCTCAAGTCTCTCAGACACGAGCAGAGAAGTAGTGAGTCGGAGACAATTTGATTTACGCCATCTCCTTCCTGTAGAGGCAGCTTTATTGTAGCCTGAATGTGTCTCTATAACAGCAAGCCAGTTTTCATCACTTTCAGAAGCTTTGGCTCAGTGTTTTGAAGACTCTTAGCCCTCCAGATTAACTTATCTTCACAAATCCACACATTCTGCCCAGTTCCTATTTCTCTTCACATTTTTCTCCTTTACTGTCGCTTTCAGAGGTGTTTGTCCGAGATTAGAAAAGCGCTCTTAACCTTTTTTTATTGATGCCTCTGCTTTGTTGCTGCAGGGACCAGCGGGGCCACCAGGAACGATTGGGCCACTGGGGGAGATGGGAGCGGCGGTGAGTTGATCACACAGCCAGGGCAAGAGCTCCCACTGACTGTTACAGTAGCACAGAATAATAAAGGCTGCCGCTGTCTCTGACAGGGGCTGCCGGGAAAGACTGGAGACAGAGGGATGCCTGGTGAAGCTGGAGAGAAGGTAGAGGGATGATATGTTGTTGAGATTACACCTTGAATTTTCTGGGTTGCAATTGTGGGATCCAGATGAAATGCTTTTGCACGCTCAGTTAATGTGTTTGCTGTTCGCCACATATGTGCACAATAATGACCTCGGTATCTACTCGAACTCTGGGACGCTCACAGAATCTATCGATCTTTAGCTTTCCTGCTTGTTAGCTCTACCTGACAGTGTTACAGATGCAACAAGTCCTGCCAGGTGGAAAAATGGAGTTACAGGAGTTGGAGCCATCTGACAAGATGGTTAGGTAGACATTAAATTACTAGTACAATTTTTAGGGTTGACCGATGCGTTTTTTCGAGTAGTTCTGTGTTTTTTAAGGACATCAATATTTGGAACCAACACAAAATCTAACACAAGTCACATTAACAAGTGCTCCCAAGTACAAAAAAAAAAGAAAAAAAGATTAGAATTTGGGTTACAAATGGTGTGATTTTACCTGAATAATTTACATATTCAGAATTAAAATCCTACAAAAATTGTCTTAAATACGACAATACTTGAGTATCATGTGGGAAACTTACAGAGAACAACTTAACTAATGTCATAATGTTTATTAAATAAGAACCTACCCTGATATACATTACAGAACTTAACCTAACTAACATACACATTAAGGCTAAGACCTTATTGCATTATTGATTTTGGAGGTTAAATTGATAAATTTAAAGCTAGTTTTGACCCGACAAAAATCTGCATGAAAACCCAGCAAATCCAAGGATTTCCTAGAACGTATGTTTAATTACAGAGAACTTGCCAACAGTTGTTGGTTAGTGTTGATTGGGTAATACTCGAATAACCAATCAGAGCTGCATCAGAGCCAAAGTAGCACATTTTTTAAATTTAACTGGAAATTGGCTTCGAAAAATAGTGATACAGATAACTGAGAAAAAAAATAAAAATCTGAATATTGAATCTGATAATCGGCCCAACTGAGAGTCAGTCAGTCCCTAGAAATGCCATTATTCAAGCTTTATATATACCAGTCATGTGACCAAAGCTGTATTAAGGTGTCATAGACACAAGCAGAGAAGTGAGTTGTACTAGAAAGAAAAGAGCTAATTAGAAAACACCTACTTCAGTTTTACATTTGACTGAAACTGTGGCCAAAAAAAAAAGTGAGAAAAGGTGCCATGAAGGTAAATTGTTGCTTTGAATACAAAATATGATGCTTTTTTCTGAACTCAGTGATCCAATTTTTTACACTCATGATGAAGGTCATGTGACCGTCCATAGTAGGTATTAAAGGTAAATGTGTTTTAGTGGAATCAAAGGTTGTATACAAAGACATGCAACACACCTTCAGTCGTGTTCTTTCACGTTACAGGGTGCCGTTGGTCCGCCCGGCAGCGTCGGCGAGCAGGGTCTGATCGGCCAGAGAGTGAGTATCCCAGGTCTCTCCGTGAGGTCTTAATGACGCAAAGTGAACTGGATTTATTCTGGAAAACCCTCGCAAAATGTTCAAAAGTGAACTCAGCCTTTGCAACACAAAGTAAACCAAGTGGTAAATTGGTTTTCAACATGCGCTCAAACACAGCTCTGCCAATGTTTGGCTCGCATCGCATCTGTTTTTGCTTGCTGTGATTACTGTCCTTGTAACGCTGAACCAAACGCAACCAACCGTGATATTTTTATGATTCGTCTATCAGGGGGAGCCAGGCATTGATGGGGAGGCTGGGGCGAGCGGACCTGATGGAGCCAAGGCAAGTATGAAAATAAAAAAAGACACACTGTGACCTCAAATTTAAGATTTTATTTTTTTGGTTCAGTCAATGGAAAAAATGTTTAATAAGATTCTGGCCACTTGTCAAAAAATTGTCACTAATTTCAGCTCTGGTTAATTCTCTCTCGGGGCTGTTTGTCTGCGAACCCGATGAACTTCCGTGTTTACTGTAGCAGCTTATTGTAATTAGAGCGAGTCAAGTATTGTTTGTGGGATATTGGCCTTTGTACAGTTGGAGCTGCATTGTGTGGATGCTTAGTGAAAACAGATAGCAGGGCTATTTTTAAGAGCTCTACTGTCTGGCAAATATTGTGACAGGGAGTAGAAGAAAGGAAGCAGAAAAAGCCTGCCCATTCACCAGAGCCAAACTGCTGGAAGTATGGCTGACAGACCCACAAACAGCTTTTGGCTTCGAGGAGGTGGCAAAGTGCGGCGCGGAGAACACTGGGGATTAGAACAGAGTCGACCTGAGAGGCTGTTCGGCTTCATGCTGTACAGGACGTTTGCTTTTATTCGAGAGAGTAAACTACTTGGAGAGGTTCCTGGACGCGGTGCAGCTCCTGGGTGGAAAACTTGTGAGGGATTTTCAGCTTTTGCCGTTAACTGTTAAAGGAATAAAAAATCTGTGCCGTGTTAATTAGTTAAATATGAGCTTGAAATTCAACAAATCGGCATAAGACGTGAGTAATTACAGCAACTTGGCACCCAACTGGACCCTGCCATCACATTTATCATCTACATTTGAATAATTTACAATCTGGTGAATTGGTGAAATGAACCGTGCTTATGACCTTAAATTCTTTAAGAACTAAATGAGCTCAAGCTGTCACGGTGTATTTTCTTTGGAGTTCTTGCTCCGTTCTTTAAAGGTCCCATATGGTAAAAATCCATTTCTATTTTGCTTTCTACATCCTAAAGACCAGGAGGTGTCAGATAAAAGCTGTCAGTATGTGAAGACCGTTCCTCCAGTGCCCTCTGGCTACATGGCCTCCCAGCTTTACAAGTTTAATTCAGTTTCTATGTAGAACCAATAGCCGTCAAGCTAAAAAATTAGCCCAATCCTGCCCCTTATTGCCTGCTGCTTCCATGTGAGCCATTCAGAATAAGCAGGCTGTTTACTTCCTAGAGTTAATTCTTGCTAACTTAGACTTTTTATTCTGTTTGCTGGCTGCAAAAGTGAACACAAGAGTCCTTATGCACTCCCAGCATCTGAAGAACTGAGGATCCAGTGGATTTTCTTTTTATTATTTTTGATCTGAGTGTGACAACAAAAGGAACATCCTTACTGTTAGCACGTTGTGTGGTTAATGTGGCTGACGTTACCATTAGCTTCAGTCGTATGCCCACAGGTCAGAGCTCTGTGGAAACACTGAGGGACATTCAGAGATGGGGGAAACTCAAACACTTATTAAAAACCAATAAATAAGGATAGGTTACTGTGTTTTAATGTTGTGCTTCAGTGCAATTCATGTGCATCTGTTTGCTCACGTATAGTCTATTTCTATACAGCCAAATTCCCAATAAAGCTGTTCTCATTTGCATATTTTGCTGTTTCCGTTGTCAGACAACAGAACAAGTATGAAATAGTGACTGACATGCAGCCAATTAAGATGACACGTTAACCAGCAGTCACTTCAGAGCCATTTTCAAGCGAAAAAAAAAAAAACAAACAAAACATCTGTGTTGTGAATTTGATGATATTTACATGTCAAATCACTGCTCAGTGCGAAAGCTAGAAGTGATGGAAAGTCATTCTCATTCCCGTCTCTGGCAGCTGTTTTGCTCCGCACTGTCAATCATAGATGCAGAGAGAGTTTTCTTCCTGAAGGGGGCATTGCTAGCAGAAGCCGAGCTGCATTTGAAGCTACAGACAGCCCAATTAAAACTGGACTAAAACCAGGGATTATACAGTCAGTGTAGTCATTGCTGTATCTTGAACTGAAAACTTGGAGGACACATCATGTTGATGTGTAAGACTTTCAGGAATTTGCTAAAATGAGCACAATATGGGACCTTTAAATTGAACATCTAATTCTTATTTCCATGTGTTGTGAAGTGTTTCCAATTGGTTTTTACGTATCTACACTGTTGACTGCTCTTGAAGAAGCTCATATCTGCATTCAGGTAATTTGTAATTGTTTAGACAGCCGACTGATTCATGATTCCTTATCGAGTGATAAGAAACAAGGACTTTGTCGGATTAAGCTGGTGAAAAGTGTGAAACCAGTAAAAACATCGTTCATGTGCGTGTTTTTCTTACACTTAGTGTTTTGTGGCAGGTTTCTGTATATTTTAGCCAGATGATATGCATAATGGTGGGCCTGATGGGTGTAATAATGGCATTGTGGTGATCTTGTAAAAACAAACAGATTGAGCCGAACAAAGAAATTGAGAAAACGTATAATTTTAACAGAACTCTGTGGAGACATCTATCATCACTAAATGTGGCCTTCTACCACCGTATAGCATCTCAAATGATATTTTCATGTGTGCTGACGAGTCCTCTGTCTGTCTTAGATTTAAGTGCAGCCTTAATGTTCCTCTCTTCCTGTGTTGTTCCTCATGGCTCATTTCTCGCGTCACTCTTGCATTCTATTTGCTTAACTCGCGCAGTTGTTTTGGTGATACGTCTTAAGACGGGCCTGCTTTTTTCTTCCTTTCTTTTTTTTTTTTAAAGATTACTTTAAGGCTGGCTTTCTTGGAAAACTCCCTGCTGTGATGAGCGAGACAGCTAGTTTCAGTAAAAGTGCAACAAAACTGAAGTCCTTGTGATTGTTTCTGATAACATCTCAAACTCTTTTATGCTCTGGGAGAAAATACAGCTTGAAAATGTCATGTCACAATGACATTCTTGTTTGGGTTTTTTGTTTTTTTTCATCTTCAATTCACGGCCTGCTGTTTCTAACTAATAAATTAGTCATCCTATTGTGTCTTTCTGACCGTGTCACTGTGGAAACTGCAGCTATCTGAGAATATTTATGTAGAGCCAGGTGTACGGCTCGCATCTTTCCTGTCTGGGCATCTTTGTGAGTGTGATACATTTTAATGCATAACCTGCAAGAATCCTTGAAATAAAACTGCTCAGGTTGGTGGATATAACCCCAAATGCTATGTGTTGGTCAATTCATAATTCATAATAGCAAAGGCAGACCTTTCAATGGTATATTTAATTTGATAAAAGTAGTCTTATATTCATATCTGACTCGTAAAAGGTTTTTGTTTGATATAAATAATGATCGTTCCAGTCTGTATATTTAATTTAAACATTCAAGCTACAACAGGTCAGACTCCTCGCTCCTCACTGTGATTGCTTGTGCTCTTAATCAAAATAATAAAGTGCAGCTTAACGTAGCTCACCTTTCTTTATTGGACTACTTTTCCCAGGGTGAGAAGGGGGATGCTGGTCCAGAGGGCGCTAAAGGAGACAGGGGTGAAATTGGCCTGAAAGGAAAGGAAGGACTACCTGGGGTTCCCGGACTGGTGGGGGTGAGGGTGAGTGTCTCGGGAGTAGCTCCAAATTTCATTCAGTGCCAAGAAAAAAAAAAAGAGACAGCTCTTTTCGTCCACTTACAACCCTGTTCGATTTTTCTTTTTACCAGGGTCAGGAGGGTAAACCTGGCAAAATTGGGGAAAGAGGAAAGCCGGGAGAAAAGGTTTGTCAGTTCACTCGCTCGGAGCTAAATACACCTTTCATTCTTGGATGTCTGTCAATTTGCTCTCTTGTGCTGGGAGTTAAATAGTTCTCCGCTGCAGTAGTAAACAAACAGCGAGGTCAGCAACCTCCATAAGCGCGATGTCGGAGGACGCTTGTCAAATAGAGTCTTCGGCATCGAATGTTTGAATTGTCAAACTAGCCGCAGAAGTGTTTGTGCGCTCAGTGCATGCCTGCTCATTGACGGGCTTTTCTCCAGGGGACCAAAGGTCACCAAGGTCATCTGGGTGAGACGGGGCCAATCGGCGATCGGGGAGAGCCGGGATTCGTCGGGCAGAAGGGAGCGAGGGGAACCATCGGGCCGGTGGTGAGTTCTCCACAGAAGGACTGGAGGACTTAATTAGCTCGAGTATATATGGGCTAAATATATATATATTTCCCCAGGGTGCTCCGGGAAGAATGGGCCAACAAGGAGATCCTGGCATATCCGGTTACCAGGTAAGCACTTCTTCATTTCAAGCATTTAATTGCGGGGTGTTATTAAAAGTGAGGGACTTGTGGTGTTTTTGAAACCAAGCGAATGTCTACTCTTCAGTTTGATGGCTATTTGTGAATATTAAAAACAGAGGCAATGAACATTTTTAGGCCTCTAGAGTAAAAGCTTTTGAATGTTCTATTTTAAAAACTCGGCTCTTTTGAGAGAAGAAAGGAAGGAAAGAAGCTTTAAGTAGTGTGCATACATCCCAGTGTAACATGAGGTGCCTTGTTAGCAGCTAGACCTTTTTATTTTTCTAAATAGGGATTTTTTTTTTTTGGACAGGTGTCTCATTTCATACACATTGTTGATCGACACTATTGATTTTTCCTGGTAGATGCCATGTTTTTATTATGACTCTGTGCCTGTAGCAGTCACAGCCAGAGGCAATATGTTTTCCGGTTGTCTATCCGTCCATCTATCCGTTTCATTCTCGTGAATGCGATATCCCTCGAACGCCAGGAGGGAATTTCTTCAACACGTTCACGTTGACTCAACGGTGCACTGATTACATTTCTGGAGGTCAAAGGTCGAGATCGCCATGGTCTCACGTCTGTCCCGTTCCCACGATAACTCAGGAGGGAAGGAGTTTTATTACAGCCAGCACAACGTTCACGTCGACTGAAAGACGAACTGATGGTTGAAGGCCTTTGTGACGTAACAAAACTGATTTTTGCACTCAGCTCAAGAATATATGTTAATTATGGCAACATTTCACTCAAACATCTAA